TCCAGCTGCAAAACAAGATCATAGTTACTTTTGGTTTCTCTGTATCAGAAGCAAGCTTGTCATTTACTTCAAAACCAACAGAACAGGAAAGAAGGCTGTCTCTGGAATACTGATTTTAAATCTCCAGTATAAAATTTCAAAGATCAGATTCAAGTTTGTATTAAATATAACATAAAATAGCTCAGAATTTATAAGTGAAAATGTACGTTATTTATAAAAGGTGATCCTTCCTAGGGGAAAACAAAGAATTTTTCCATGCCAAGGAAACTGGCCTCATGGATGAGAGATGTACCTCACAGCTTTATGCTTCTGACTGCTGATCCTGTCCCAGAACATTTGTACAGTTACAGAAATACTGTTTAAGTGACATGACTGAGAAGTTCACAGGAGCTAATGTGAAGAACAGGGATAGGTGGTTTCACTGCCAGACTGCAAAGATGCAACAGAAAGGGTTGGAATATGATCTGATCAAAGTCCAACACAATTCACTGCTTTAAGTCTCTAATCTGTTTTACAGCTTGACAACTTCTTTAAATCTGAAAAAACACCTGAAACTGGAAAGGCCAGCAAGCCTTTGGAGGGCTGAACTAGGCTCCCAAAAGGTCTTGACAAATCTAAAAGAAGCATGTGCAGGTCCAAATCAAAATGTACAAATATAGAATCTGAACAGGACAGAGGCTTAGGATAAAATATGATCAATAATATCATTTGGCTGCAGTGGGAGGCAGAGAACCCAAACCTCACACAGATGTGTAAGTGAGAGCAGTTCTTGGCAGATCCATGGGGCACCTTCCCTTCCCTTGGCACCCACTGGGCAGAGCCTGTGCCCAGGGCTGTGCACCACGTGTGAGTCAGGAGCAAACCAGGGTGCTGGGAACAGGAGTTCTGGCAGGCAGCTCCTCAAGGGGGGCTGGAGGCTCCTCACTGGTTCCTCTACAGACACCTGGGAAGGGTGCAGCATTCAGGGCAGCTGCCAGCAGGAAGGGAATACTCTGATCTTCGTGTCAGATATTAACAGGAAGAGTAACATCAAGCATTAGTGAAGCCTCAAAGAATGAGGTCTGATCTGAAAAGTTTTCTCACAAGAACCATTTATTCCTTTCCCTCATGAAGTTGCAGATCCTCCATTATCAGGTATTGTTTTTAAAGACCAGGTTAGACACACATTCATCAGTAACAGGAACTGAAGGAACACCAACGTGGCTCTTAGGCAAAGAAGGCAGATTCAGCAGCCATCCCACTTCCACCTCCTCCCAGCTGTTTCCTGCATCTCTGCACCAAATGTTCGCTTTGGGTTTTTATTATTATTATTATTTAAAATAAGTCCCTGCATTTACTTGGTCTGTCAGGAGAATGCAATCTCCCTCCTACACACCACCTACATACTCGCTGCCACATACCATTTTCACATTTTTAAAATGCCTCTAAAATTAATTCCTACTTCTCCTCAATAAAAATAAAGACTTCAACAAAGCAAAGGGTTCAGGAAGAGAAAGCTCCCTGGACGCTGTCACTCTCTGCACTGTTTTTCTCGCCAAGCCACAACCAGCCGCATGTTAATTCCAGGCCTGAGTATTTCTGGGAATACTTCCCATGGTTTTTACACTATCAATTCCCACCAGCGGCACAAACACCGCGTAACATCCAACCCCTCACACGCTTCATTATCCCGCATCCTCGGACCGACCCTTCCTGTGCAAGGAACTCCCAGCTCCTTCCTCCTCCTGCCCCCCTCACTCCCGCTGCGCTCCCGAGCGCGCTCCGCTCTCGCACCCAAACTGCGCCGTTCGCCCCGAGCAGCGGAACCCGCCCGCTCCCGCCGCGGGACCCCGGGAGACACCGGCGGGAGACGGACACGGCACCGGGCTGCAGGAGCCGCTCGTGCCGGACCGCCGGGCACCGGGGTGGGCTCCTTCTGCCGTCCGGGGATGTTCGGGGTGGGGGAGCCCCGGGACGGGCGGCCCCGCGGAGCCGCGGCGGTGCTCAGTCACGGCCCTGACTCAGCGAAACCCCGGCGGACAACGCCGCCCCGCGCCGCTGCCTCACCGGCCGAGGTGATCATGGTGCCGCCCGGCTGCCCTCGGAAGGGAGGTCGCGGAGGTCCGAAGGGTCCGGGGGGGAGGTCGGGTCGGGTCCGGTCCGGCCCAACCGCGGTTCCGCCGCCGCCGCCGCTGCCCGGCCCGGAAGTGCAGCCAAGGGCCTCTTCCGGCGGCTCCGCGCTGCGCCGGGAGAGGTGCCCGTGCGATCGCCTGCGCGGGACGGCGGAGGAACAGGCAGGCAGGAGGGGGCAGCCCTGCCGCCGGGGGCCTCGTACCGCCCGCCGCCCCTCACGGACGCCCGGCACCACCGACACTTACCGGGGCTCCCTCACAGCCCCCACGGGCTCCCGCAGACCCCGCACCGCTGCCTGAGCGAGAGCTGCGAGCTCCCCACGAGTCACCCCGCCGGTGCCCGCGTTTGTGCCGTGCCCGGAGAAGCGGCTGCTTCCCCCGCCGGGACAGGCCGGCCGCAGCGGGCGGGCATCGTAAGGGGCACGGCGTGTCCCAGGGCAGTGCGAGGATCAGCGATTTTATCCCATGGGTTTAACGCATGCCGGCCGCCTCTGCGGCACAAGACAGATGGGATACCCAGGCTGAGGGATTTGCAGCAGGGAAAGTCCAGCTCAGGAGCAGCGATGCTACACAAGGGACAGAAGTGCCCAGACCTCGGCAGCATTAATTTCTCCTTGATGCTATTGAATAGGATGAAATACCCTGTGAAGGGCTTGAATTCCTTGAGTATGCATAATGGTATCAGTTAGTGAAAGTTACTAATGAAAGTTCCTAATGAAAGTTTATCAGGCCCCTACCTAAAATGCCAAGAGGGGCTGCCCCGCTTTTGGACAACTGGGAAGATGTCCAGCCTTCTCCATTGCCCCACCTGGGCTGCACTCAGTTCTGATCTTCTGCATTTCAGACACTGGGGTCACTTCCATTCCATCCCAATATCCAGGTTTTTTCAAGCCAAGATAAATACGAGTTAAGCTGTACATAATGCTACTTTAAGAACAGCACCATGGCAAACAGATAAGCCCATTCCAATTTGGAAATTGTGTCTTTATTCAACAAGCATGAAATAGTGCCCTTAAATTATTCAATCAATTAAACATGCAAAACTATCTGTTACACCTCCAAGTGCACAAAGAAAAGCTAAAAAAAAAAGTAATTCAAGTCACTTTTATTCCTCAGTCAAAGAATAATAATACTTTTGGTCAAATATATTCTCACTCACACCCCCTAAGGCCCAGGCAGTTCATCCACTTCCACCAGTCTCTTGCAGGGATAAACTTGCATTATTTACCTAAAAATTACCAGTAAGTAAATCCAGTGGATTTGCAGCACCAAGGGAGGTTTAACTGCCAGTCTGTGCTCTTGGGCCACCTCTTCATTGGAGAATGCTCAGCAGCAAGGGCTAAATGCTGCAAGAGAATAAAGATTGCTCCTGGTGAGTCCTTCTTGGCCCACCTAACCAAGGACTTTACTGGGAAACACAGACCTGTGCAGTGACCTGGGCTGTGCAGGGATGGAGCAGGAGGGAGCCTTAATCTCATCAAGATGCACTGAGTGCTCAGTGCTGAAATGTGGGGCCAGTAACACAGCCACCCACACCAAGTCACTTGGTTACATTTGTGTTTTGCACAGGTCATAAGCACAGAAATCCTGGAGGCTGGAAGAATGGGTCAGTGCCCTCTGTGCAGAGCAGCATCCCCTGCTCCAGGTAAGAGCTAGAGGGATGCCAAAGGCAGAGTGCTGGCCAGAGCTGGCAGGACTCCAGAAACTTCAGCTGCCAGTGGGGGAAAAAGGAGCCAGAGAGAGGACAGACATGCACAGAGGATGCACTTTGGCAACTAACCCAAAGTAGAGGTAGGCAGGTTGAAATTTCTGATCTGAGCTGGAGGAAACTCCTAAAGGAAAGCCAGCCCCAAGCTTGTGCTCAAAATAAAACAAGACCTCTTTTATGTTGCATAAAGAATTTAAAAGATATTCTTAGCATTAGAGTAATATTCCTTGTAAACCAAGGATTTCTAGTTGGTTGTGTTGCCCCACAGGCTACAGGCAACCCTTTGGAACTACTTAAATAGATAATTTTTATATTTTTATGTTTATTTATTAAACAGCCACCTCTTGTGCTGCAGGCCACCTCCGAGATGTGCCACCATGCCTGTGGAGATCTGCCAGGTGAGATGGCCCTCTCTTGTGGCCCCATCTAGCAGCAGCCACCCCTTAGTGCCCACCTGCCACCCCTCCAACCCAGGCATCCCTCAGTCTATGGGCACCAGGACGAGCCAAAGGAATAGATCCTGCTCCCAAAGCCCACTCTGGTCTCGATGCCGGTACCATCAGTAAATATCCTTCGTGTTGCTCTTGCCCCTCAAGCTGGGCTGTTACTGGAATGTTACACTGTTACAGAGCTTACACTTAGTTCCACTGCAGTCTCCAAGCCACTGGTGTTACTTGGTTGAGGCTGTTTTTTTTTTTTTTTTGTTCTGTTTTGGTTTGATTTGGTTTTTGATCACAAAGAGGGTGGGAACTTCCAAGCACCAATAAAGTAGGAAAACAAGGCAGCAGAATCAGTCTGCAAGGGAGGCCAGCCCCAGCAACCTCAGCAGGGAACTTTGCTCAGAATTAGAAAGCATTTCTCATTCTTCAAACAGGTGGCTGCATTTCACACTCAAAGTCCCAAAGTCATATTGCCCAAGATGTGGGGTACACCCTAAAGGGCTTCTCAGTAGCCCAGTGTCCAGCAGCAGCTCCAAATGCCCCTGGGCAGCAGGGAATGGCTCTCTGGCACAGACCCTCTGTGCTGGTGGCAGCTAAAAAAGCGCTGATGAGTTCAGCCAAGCAGCTTTTCCCTGGAGCTGTGGGTCCTTGGAAGAGAGGGCCTGCACCAGCTCCTGCTCCCATTGCTCCAAATCCACTGGGCAGCTCTGGGATGTGGACTCTGTCGGATGCCCAGCAGCTCTAGGTGCCCGTGCCTCCAGCAGCTTCTTCACAGGTTCCATTGGGGGAAAGGCTGGCCAGAGCCACTTCTTCCTCTGGGTCCTGCAGGTCATCTGCAGGGAGCAGAGAGAGGTCAAGGCAGACCTGAATGGAAAACCCCTCTTCCCAGAAAATGCAGCTTAAGATGAAAAAAAAGCATGGGCTGAAACAATTGATATATACTCACAACCTTAGCACAGCTGGTTTTTTCGTTTTGTTTTACAAACTTAACATTGCTTCAACAAATAGAGCAAAGGAGCACAGGGCCTGGCTCCTGGCCTCCTGAAGTCTGAGCAATCTCAAAATAAGTTGCATGGCCACAGGGTGTTGCCTGCCTGGCACTGACAGCAAGATCAGGCACTTCCATTTTCTGACCATGGACAGTGGATCTCACAAGCCTCATATGTCTCACATGTCTCAAAGCTCCATGAACTGGGCATTCATTTCAGTTGTTTTGTCTGACTCTTATGCTCTTTAAGTATTTCATATCTTTTAGAGGCATTTAATAACATCCTTTAAAATCTGGTGAGCCCTGAAGTGGTCAGGCAGTTGGGCTAGATGATTATTGTAGGTCCCTTTCAAGTGAAAATATAACATTCTATTCTAGTCTAGTCTTTCTTTTTACAGTGAAAGAGCTTTCCCTCCTCTTTGTGCTTCATAGTACAAGCTGGATCTCCACAGCACAAGCCTTGTAGCCTCCTGCATGAGGCCCTCCTGCAAAAATAAAGTCACTGCTGGGAAGTGCAAGCCAAAGTGCCAACAATGCACAAAGGCTGAATGCTATGCTATGTGTTAATTTCCTTTAGGATGAGGGAGCCCACAGCTGACTGCCATCTCCTTTCTCTCTGCCAGCCCTAAAAGCAAATGTTTGGGAACACTCCTTCCACCCATGTTTGCAGAAAACATCAAATAATATCAGGGTGTTTCCAATTCATTGATTAGACAGAGTAGTTCTGCTTCCAGACATTCAAACAAAATGCAGCTGAGTTCAGCAGTGCTTCCAGGGATGTATTTGGGCACCAGACTCAGTGTGATTTTGTTTAGACAAGCAAAAGGTCAGAAAACAAGGAAATGACAACAAAGCAGACATATGTGCTGGTTGTCTTCAGGTTTGGGCTAAACCACAGCCAGGGAAGCAAGGTCAGCTGCAGAGCTGGAAGTAGCTGGAAGAGGCTACCAGCAAGGGGCTTGGGCACCAGAACCACCAGGGAATCATGAGGAGCTTCTGACAATCACAACAGAGTACAAGGGAGGGAGCTGGGCATACCTTCATGAATGTTGTTTTCAGCTTTTGCTTTGTAATCTTTTCTCCAGCTCCTCTGGTTCCAAGAAATGCACTGCAGGAAGGATGGCAGCCTCCACCTCTCCCTGTCTTTCATGTCTTCTGAATAAACCAGAGAAGATGAGTTCAGACTGGCAGCAGGTCAGCCCTGCTGCTTCTTCACATCTCCCTCCCTGAGCCTGGCAACAAAACCAGGTCCTAGCAACAAAACCAGATCCACTCCATAAAGCCCACCACTAGAAAGCACAGAGCAAATCCTGGCATCCCTTATTTTTGACTGAAACCTCTCTGCTACCCTGGAAGTTTGTCCCTGATGTCAGTTTGTACTTTGCCACCTTGCTGCCAAAACCAGTCTGGATGTGGCAGCCGAGAGTAAGCAGGAAACCTGGCAGCAGCTCAGCTGGCACACATGGCGAGGCTGGGGACTGACAGACACAGTTAGAGAATTCCCACAGAAGGAAGATTTCCTTTTGCATTGTCACACAGCTTCTACCACATCAACTTGTTTACTGCTCCCTATTAAGCAATTCCTCCCTCCCATGGAGACCTGCTGGACCCCGGGTCTTGCAGCAGCTGAAACTGCTTGCAAATTGCAGGGAGCATGTAGTCAATGTATGGTAATTTTCTAGAAGACAACAAAGTTACTACAGACTTTCCAACCATTTTAGTAAAACACTACAGCAGCCTGTAAAATACTACAGCAGCATAATTTTATATGGTCTCCAACAGCAGCAGTTCAGTATCCCCATTGAAATATCATCCAGCCTTTCACCTCCTAACCAGATAACAAATGATAAACCACTTCAGTGTCCTTCACTTTATGGAACCATTGCGACACTAAAGGGCTCTGTGTCTTTCTGGCAGTCAACAAACAAAAAGCTCCAGTGCACAGCCTGGGGTGCACTGCCTGAAGTGTTCAACTGCCCTTTGGAGGCACAGCTATACTGGGGATCCCTCTGTCCAGGTGGAGATTTTGGAAGGCAAAGCTCCATGAAGTTCCAGAAGCATGGAAAGGAGTTTTCCCTGCCTAAGGTTGAACCCTGAAGGTGATGAGTGTCCTCATTACACACACTGGGGCACTTACATGACTGAGGGCACCAGGCAGAGCATCAGAAGTGAGTGAGCACACACAAACAGGCTGTAACACCCAATCCAGCTCCTGCTCCTCGTTCTCCACAGCCAGCCACAAAAATACATACACTGAGCCAAGCACCAGCAAAGTGCCAAGGCAGAAAAAGGTATGCAGGGATGTTTTTCTGCCTCTGCAGCTGCTGTCCCACCAGACTGCTGCAACCAGAACTGGAGGATTCGCAGGTGTCTGGGAGCACACCAGAAATTCTTGCAGCAGGAACAATGTGAGGAAGACAAAAGCACGTGAAAGGAGAGAAGCTGGAAAGAGCTGTGTGCCTCAGTAGAGAGGTGGCAGAGGACAGCCCTGTGCCCTCACCACCAGCCACCTCAAAGCTCCTCAACATTCAGGTCCAGGCTTCTGGGCTGAGCTGATAGAAAGAAGCACCTGCACTGCAGCAAATCGTCCCTATGTCCCAGGAATCCCAGGAGACCCTGTCAACCCTGTGGTGCTGAGGGCAAGTGGCAGGATCCCTCAAGGTAAAGCCAGCAAAACACCCAAGCCCCTGGAAATCCTGGGGAGCAAGGTAAAAGTGGGAAAAAAATGAAAGAAGGGAGGAGGAAAGGGAAACAGCCCAAGACAAACAGTGCCAAAGATTAAAGTGTTTTATGTGGCAGCTGCGAGAGCAGAGCCTGCCCAGCTGCCCATCACCCTGCACTGACACACAAACCCAACTCCCCTTCCACCCCAGGGCAAATGCTGCTCCTCGGGCCTGGCTGACACCCAGCTTTCATCCTGACATATTGTTCTACATGCAAACAACAACTTGCTTTTGTTACTTATTCATTATGCAAAATCAGCACAAGCATCCTCCTCCTGCAGGAAGGTCAGGCTCTGCTGGCACCCTGTGGCACAGGCCACATCCCAGTCCTGCTTCCCCCAAAACCACACATCCAATAAGCATGGAAGGCCACCGTGTCATGGATGGCCACAATGTCATGGCTGTCAGCTGCCTTATCTCTGTTATCCATGAGTTGCTCTAGTGTTTCCCAAACTGCTGGGAAGTTTGTCTGCCCTGGCTGCCAGGTCTGGGAACCGCACCAGAAAGCGGCAGATCCCACTGGAAAAGCTCTGATCCCATCAGCATGAAAGAGATTGCATTGGGAAAAGGCAGATCGGATTGTGTGTGTGTAAAGATCCCATCAGTAGTGAGTGGTCCAATTCCAATGGGAAAAGCCAGATCTCATTGGGTCAGAGGAAGCTCCCATCAGGAATTGTTAGATCCTAATGGGAAAAACCTGACCGCATTGTAGGGGAGATCAGAACCCATTAGGATGGGGTAGATCCCACCGAGAAGGGGAAGATCCCACAGGAAAACGGAGCAAATCCCACTGTAGAAACCGGGCCCCGGGTGAGGGAGGGAGAGAGGAAGGGTTCCCCGACCCCGGTACCTGCGGGGTGCTGCAGGGCAGCCCGCAGGGCGCGGCAGGCGGCGGCGCGGCAATCGCCGGGGCTGCCCGGGCTGTACCGGGCCGCCTGCACCGTGCCGGGCGCCGGGAAGTGCCGCCGCAGGGCCGCGTCCAGCACCGCCGCGTCCTCTCCGTCCCCGCCGGGCAGCAGGACACCCACGACGGCGGGCGGCGGCCCCGAGGGCAGGCGGCCGCGCACGTCCCGCACCACCTCCCGCAGGCGAGTCCGCGCCCCGCGGTCCCGAGCCGCCCCGCCGCCGCACAGCACCAGCAGCAGCCGCGCTCCCAGCGCCCGGCCCCCGGTGCCCGGCGAGCGCCGCGCCCGGCACCCCGGCACCGGCCTCGGCCCCGGGCACGCTGCGCGCGGCGCCTCGTCGTCCAGGAGGTCGCGGGCGAAGGCGGCCAGCGCGGGCGCCGCGGGGGCCCCCTCCGCCACCTCGGCCACCAGCAGTACTGCCCGCCGGCCGCCCGCCCGCTCCACCAGCGTCCGCAGCTCCTGCAGGTCCGCCGCCGCCATCCCCCGCCGTGCTCCCTGTCCGGTCCGCATCCGCCTGTTCCCCGGCTCCGCACCGCCCACTGGCCCGCACCCGCCCCGGCACCCTGCACCAGCCCGGGGCACCAGCCCCGGCCCCGCGCAGAGCAACACCCCGGGGCAGCGGGGCGAGAGGGTATCAAGGATCCCCCCCCGCTTCCAACCCGGTCCCGGACCTGCGCAATCCAGCGGGACGAACAGCCCCTGCCTGCTGCCCGGTGGACACAGCAGAGAGGCTAGTAAAGAGCCCCCGGATCTGCCACACGACCAGACTCAGAGCCCTCGCACAGGCTGGTCGTCTTGCCAACGAGGAGTTGATAAAATTCAGGCAAAAAAACTGTGTTATGGAGGGGCTTGAAATGTGAGAGGGGATGAGGAGAGGCTGTGGTGGCTGCAAAATGGGACACACACTGAAAACTGCAGCTGTAACTGCTTGCAAATTGCAGAGAGCCTGTAGTCAATGATAGAAAAACAGCTGATCATGCAATCATGATCATCATCCCCAGGGTGTCCCCTATGGTGTGGCATCTCATACCCCAGAGCAGCAATAGGGTGGTCTCTGGCATCTTGTGCACTATGCTGCTGCACAGCCTGGCCGGGCTATAGCCACCCCTGAAAACGATTCTTCTTTGGGAAACAATTATGCCCTCAAAGGACACACCCACCCCACTGCTCACAAGTGCATACCTCAGCTGCAGCCCCCACACCACATGCTGCATCTCTGAGTCCCTTCCCAAGCCGGTGCCCTTTGACTTCCCCTCTGCCACCTCCATGCAAAACAGAGCCTGCAGTCACAGGCCCACAACCATCAACATCACTACATCCCATCAAAGCACTAATATTTCCAGGGATGTGTGTGGAGCTTTAGTCAGGGCTTTAGTGCTGGCACTCGTTACACGTATCTCTGCCAGCCAACAGTGAATGAAAGCCATTGTGCCCAGCCCTGACACTTGCATGGGGAAGTTCCAATCCATGGTATGCAGTAAGTACTTCCCCTATGCCATATCAGAACAGGCTCCTCCAAACTAATAACGTCTTATCGCAAGAACCTGGGAAGGGATAAACAGCTCAAAGGTGTAAACGGCCAGAGTCACCTTGGCCAATTGCTCTCTGAGGAGTTTTGGAGCCAAACCATCTCTTGTGGGATGAGTGGAGGAGTCTCTGAGTGTACTGGATGTGAAAGCAGAACCAAAATCCATCTGTGTGTCCTGGATTGTGATTCCCAACATGGGTGTTCAGATACGTTCAGCCACAAATGTGGCTGAGCCATTGTGCCGGCTGCCTGCCCATACTCATGGCCATGTGTCCCCAAAGCCCAGCAGATCAGGAGCCACAGTAGAAAGGATGTGCCACAGGCTGATCCGCAGGCACAACAGTGGTGTGGCAGCTCGGGAAGGTCACAATGTGGCACCAATTTTAATCCAAGGAAAATATTTTCCCCAGTATGGCAGGCTTAGCAAACACCACCCCAGGCTAGTATCATGGATGAGGGCTTCAAGAGAGACTTTTTGCCCTGGGTCCTAGCAAAAGTAATTTACTCATGGACAAATGCTGATAAGCAAATGGGACAGGGCAAAGAGGAAGGTAAAACAGAAAGATTAGGTTCCTCTTCCAAAGATCAGGGTCTCCAAGAGCCCGTGCCCCCATGCCAGTGTGGTAGCCCTGAGAGTAGCTGTCAACATGGGAGGGCTACAAAGTCAGACATAATTCAGTAGCCAGGTGTGGCCTTAGTGCTGCCCGGATGTTGTATTTATGAGGATTTTTTCCTCATCTGTTCAGAAGCCTATTCATGGTCCTATGGACAAAAGTCCAGGGTATAATCAGCATCATGACTTGTGTCAGCAGCAGGAGAGGACAGGAACACTATGCTAGTCCCCAGAAGTCCTCATCTCTCTGGAAAACTGCCAAGAGATCCACAAAGTGTTTTCACTCCTCATGAGCTGCCAGCACAGCCTGTGGTGTGGTGGTACTGGTTAAGGACTGACTGATGTGCAGACCATTACAGCACGGCTCTCACGGAGCTCTTCCAGAGCAGCACTATGCCAGCGACTTGCCTAGAGATGCCAAGATGCCTCAGGCACTAGGAAGCTGGCTTTCTAGCTGGCAATTCCCCAGATTTATGAAGACAATTCTTGCAGAGAAGGTATATAAAAAATTGGAGTTACTTCTCTGCAGTGGCCTTGGTGTTCAAACTGCCAGCACAGCCGCTAAAAACTAATATTTGGGACCACGTAGAGCTGTTCTTCATGGCCACTGCAATTCTTTAGTTTATGTTGGGTACACATGTAACACTGTCAGCACAGGCTGGTTGGAAAGGTGAATGTCACCCACAATGCCCAAACAACCTTGTTTACATTTCTTTACTCATTAACAGGGGTAAGATCTAACACATACAACTCCCTTTGTGTTACTTAAAGAGGAACAACTCAAACAGTTCAGAGGCAGTCATGAGCTCAGGAGCATTTGTAGTCCTCCATAAAACGTCTTCAGAGCCCTGTCAGGAATCTAAGCAAGAACTCAGACGTATTTAGAAAATCTGATACTCCATCAAACATCCATCTGACAGTCACAGCTGCAGAGAATCACTATAGACAGCCCTAAGTGAGGGTCATCACATCTCTTACATATGCTTTAGCTGCCCAGAGAAGACAAAACATCTATTCATTTTTGACTTCGACAAAGGAATGAAGTGTATTAGTAATGCCTTGAAGCCTAAACAACAAAAAAAGGACGACTGCATTAGAGGCTGCATTTACCAAGATAAACCTTTCTTCTGAAGAGAGTAAAAAGAGGACAGGGATAAAGGATTCTTGTGCCAGTTTTGATGATAGAAGAGCAAAGAGACTGAATGAGTAAGAAGGAATCTGTAGGAGCTGTTCTGAGCCCGATGTCTGATGACCCAGCCCAGCTCCATAAATTCATCCTTTCAGTAGCTTTGGTGCTCACAGGGACACTTGGAAAAGCCTCTGAGCCAGGTAGGAGCTGGAACTGCAGTCAGTTCCAGCTCCTAAGCTAAGCCGCAGCAGACCTTTGTACATTTGCTCTTCCACTGATTTGTTCTCCAAACTTCCTTCAATTATTACTTTGAAAAACACATCCTTACTAGATGCTGGAAAGCATATGCTTTACTTGTGTAGCACTACCAGTTTTTTCCAGGGCATTGCTGCAAGGCACCAGCACTCATTGAGCTCTTCATCCATGGAGACCTCCTTGGTTTGCCCAAAGAAGTAGCAGAGGAGATAATTGTGAGAGAAGAAAATACCCCAAACCCCACTCCTGCCCCCAACATCCCAGTCCCACTGATTCCCTTCTAGCCTGCCTCCCGTTCACTCCTCCATGGCTCTTCCTATTTCCTCCACATCCTCTCAATCTCTCAATCTTTCTGGCCCCTGAACCCAAACACCTTCCCACTTTTCAACAATTGGAGCTTGAACTTTGTATCAAACCAGACATGAACCCCTTCTGTGATGAGTTCAGTCACAACTGAATCCAAACTGGATGGTCACACTGTTCTGACCCAGGCCCCTCGCCCCAGATTCAGCCACCTCCAGGACCAGCTGAGGCAGCCCCACTTTTGGTCCCAGGGCAGCCTGGACCAGCTCAGCTCTGGTCTGATCTATGCAAGTCATCACAGCCCTCTGGGCTCCGCTCGGGGAGGTTACACACCATAAACAAATAAAGTTGGGAAGTCCCTGGCACTCCACGTCTGGGACACAGCCTGGCTTTCCTGATCTCAAACCTTTTTCTTGTCTCTTTTCTCCAAAATTCTGTTCCCTCTAAAAGTTGCCCATCTCTGCAGTTGTCCTAAGTTTCCTCATGTTTCCTTGAGTCACTGTCCCCTTCTGGATGGCAGAGTGGCATAGGAAGGTATGGCTGAAGAGGAAGATGGAAACCTGGCACAGGGCCATGTGCAGAGAGCCCAAAGTGTTGGTCAGTCCTGGTCACACAATAAGAGAGATATCCTTCCCTGCCCTCTTAGACACAGATGAAGCCAGCCCATCAGCCTATTCCACTCCTGAATCCTCCACTGGAAGATGTTAAAGAAGTGGCAATGAGTATGAAATCAGACCAAAGGACCAAGCTGCCTCTTCTGGCCTTTTTCCTGGCTGTCCTCAGCTGGATCCTTACCTTTGGTTTGAAAACAGGACCCAAGAGTAGCTATTCACAGCTACCAGTCTCCATTTTTTGCCAGTACACACATACCTTTGACACCAACAGTCCAGCTTTTCTGCACTTACCTTTTGCAGCTACTCTTAAAAATCACCTCAGACCTCACCAAGCTGGGGGGCAATAGCTGGGACTGCTCACAGGCACAGCCCCTCCTGCCTGCCTAACCCTGCCTTGTGCATTCTCCTACTTCCTTCTCACAAAGCCTCTTCTTGGCATGGCCAAGCTCCCAGGTTCTCAGAACTGCTCCCTTCTATGAGGCAAAGGGCAGATCCATAGCTTCCCTTGAGTTACTGGAATGAGCAGAGCAGGTCAGTGTGGATCTGCCTGGTTTGCCAGCCCCGAAAGAGGCCACAAAGGGGCCCTTCTCTAAGAAAGCCCTTCTCTTCTTCACTCTGAGATTTTTCTGTATCCACCCAGGATTAGGTGGAGAATGCAGCAAGGATGCAGTCTGAGAGCACCCATGAATGGCCTTCTGCCTCCTCTCCTCCTCAGTTCTGTGGGTGACCACGCTCCTCGTTGTCCCAGCCACACATTCCTGTGGGTACATCACTTGCCCTTGCAGGGCATTCCTGTGCTCCCAACCGCTGGCCAGGATTTCAGCCACATCTCAGAGTTTCTTCCTTATTTCATCTTGACAGTGGCCCCATCACCCTGCACAGTAGCTCCTGGACAAAGTACAAATGTGCTGCCAGAGGAAAAACTTGAGATCTGCATGGACTATGCCTGGATTTGGATGGTTATCTGTGTGTTTCAGATGCTACAGGAAATAACAGAGACACAGGACCTCACTGTGGCTTCTTGCTTTAAGGATGTCCTAATATGCTGATCTTTTAAAGCCAAACTTTCTTCACTCACAAACAGCCTGAACATGTACATGTCTTACTTTGACTCAAGTGAACTATTTCTTCATTAGGCTGACCAAAAACCGGTGTTCTCAGTAATGAAAGGCAGAATTCATCTTGTGGAAATGCTCGTGGAAAGTCTCCTCCACAACAGAACAACTGGGTTATCTCATTCCAAAAGTCTGCCAAGCACCAGCACCACCCAAACACTTAAGAGCACGGTTGTTTTGCTTCATAAAGCCACATCCTTAAGGATCTGGAAAGAATCTTGAATTTCAAAAATAACCTGGAGAATCCTTTCTCTGACAAATATTGGTTTACAGGATCTGTACTGCCCTCAAATCTCACCCCTTCTGTACCATACTGCACAAACTGGCAGCTTCAGCAAGTTTTGCAGTCTTAGATAAAAGCTTTAAAGCTTATAGATACACACAGACACAGAGAAATGAGATAAATATCAGGTGTTTAATCCTTTTTTTGATGACATTGAAGATCTTAGGATGACAAAAGATCTACAAAAAACACCAGAGAAAAAATACATATAAACTCCCAATGCAAAAGAAGTGTAGCTACCTATAGTGCTTTGCCATGCCCAGAGGGGATGGGAAATTAATTCAGCTATTATGCGGGTAATTGGACTTAAAAATATTCTACTGCTCCCACAGTTCCTCCCATCCAAAATAACCCATCCCAGAAACTCAATCTGCTGGATGTGTACATGCTTGTATGGAAAGTCAACCCCCTGCTACAAAGAACCTGGGAGGGTTTCAGGAGTTTTGCTCCTGATGAGAACTATGTACCAAAGACTCCTCCATCCAGGTTCTCCTGGGAAAACACGGTCTGAGGCCTTAGTCTTGAGTTTCTCTCACTATTTCAGTTTTGGGACAGTTTCAAATCTAGAGGCTTCTGGCCTGCTCTGATTCCCTTTCTGCTGACAGCTTTCTTAGGGACAGGTTTCTTAGGGACATTTTGATAAACAACGCATTTAATGCAAAGCAGAAACCCAGTGATTTTTGATAAAAGTTTCCTGGGGCAGATTGTTCAGCCAATTCAGCAAAGAACTCTGAGCTTTGTGGCAAGGACAGTGCGATGCTGAGGGTACACTGTCCCCTTCTGGCAGCAGCCACACACTGAATCTCATCCATGCAGAAGGTCTGGGCAGACAAGCAAGTCAGCAGGAAGGAAGTGTTCTGCAAAGGGACATCCAGCAGGACAGTGCTAAAACCAACCTGACAGATTCGGCCGCCCAAGGGAATTCATTCTCCATCCGTCTTCGATATCTTCTCTTGCCTACGTTCAGGCAGAACTCGGCAGTATCTGAGCTCCGGGAGTGAAATAACAAATGGCTCCTGGGAGTCGACTTCTAGGGGAAGAAATACAAATGATAGAACACCTGACACCATCCTCTCTAAGCTAAGGTCTGTGGCCACCCAAAAAAGGGTGGCACATCCCTCCAATGAAGAAGTCAATGTCAGTGGGGCTGTGGAGCAGTTAACATCACAGAAAGCTCCAGCAGAGTCAGAACTGCAGTTCTGACAGTGAGCAGCCATTTCCACTGCCATGTGTGTTTTGGGGCAAGGTAAACCCAACACTATCTGACTTGGAAGAGGGAACACACTTAGCCAGGACAGATGGTCCATCCCCATCCCAGCATATAAAACTTCATTCTCATTTCTGGCTCATATTACCTGCAAGGTCCAGCTTGTCTTCTTTCTTGTATCTGAATCCAGTCAACAAGCACCACTTCCATCTACACTGTCCCTCAGGCTCTGCCCTGAGCTTGTTTTAGTGTCCCACACCCCTGTGTCACCCAGTTACCTTCATGGCAGTTCAAAGCTTCTCTCAGTGCCCTACAGGCAGCTTTCTTTGCCTCCAGGACACCTCCAGGCTGGCCTGGGCTGTAAATTGCAGTCTCTACAGTCAGTTGCAGGGCCCCATCCAGCACACACTGCATTCTCCTCAGCGCTCTCACTGCCTGGTCCAGCTGCTCCTGGGAGTCAGGACGGATCATCACAAGCACCAGCACATTTGGCAGGCAGGGGAGGAGGCTCCTCACGTCCCGGACAGCTTCCTCCAGGTGATCCCACTGCATGAGCCTTTTCAACACACTGGCTTGCCATAGCATAAAAATCAGGTGTGGGGGAACCAGGTCCTCCTCTTCTTTTCCTTCATTCTCTGCCTGCTGTGGTTTGTGCTTGATGTCCCCTGTGCCGCACAGGTCCCGGGTAAAATCCACCAGCAATGAGGGAGCTCTTGACTCAGCATGGTCCACCTCCATCACACCCACCCGTCCATTCCGGCTCCCCAGCATGTCCAGTAGGTTGAGGAAATCCCAGGTGGTTCTGTCCACGAAGGAGGCCGACTCCTTGGATGCCATAGCTTCCTCTCACACCTCAGTTTACTGTGCTGCTGGGGAAAGGAGCGGAAGTAGCAAAAGCAATTGCACAGCACAGGCTCAAAACAGGCAACACCTGCTGCTCTGAGCAGCCAAGGCCGGGTTGGGTGGGACCAAATGCATGTGAAAATAGCAGTTTTGATAGAAAGATTCACAAATTGCAGCCATGTGCTTTCTGGGGTTGGACCTCCCAGAAAAAGGCTTTGTACCTTGGCAGTCTCTTACAGGGGAAAGAGAAGGGATGATTATGTGTATTTGGGCGTCTTGTATCAAACTTAGAACTTACTTCCTTCTCATCAGCAAAACCCAACTATATGATAGTGACCACAGGCCTACAAACCTGTTGTTACAGTTCACTTTGCTCATTATGTTTCCACCTCCTTCCTCTGTAATGCCTAAAGCTGGAAATCCCATCCATCCTTCTTTGAATCCGACATGTCCAAAATCTTGGTAGTTGTGGAAGACTAAAAGTCCTGCCTGACCTGGTCCCACATCCCATAAACTGCAATTTCTCTACACAGATTAAAAAAAGGCAGTTTTCCATGACAAAGGCTCTCCTGCTGTGAAGGACAGCACTGGCAGCAGGCTTAGGTCTTTAAGCCCAGCAAAATAATTTCTATACCAGAGCTGAGTAGTTGGGTCAAGTTTTTAATTCCAATTCCCAGTAATGTTTTGATTTACCCAACAATATATTCTGCACACACAACTACTCCACCTCTTTCAGAAAGAAGAGGATTAGCTGTGAAATACCAGCCCACTGCAGACTTGCAAAGCCACCAACTCAGAGGGCTCCATGACACACACTGGCAGCAGGGCCAGGTAGGGAGAAGGAAGCTCTCATGCCCTGGGAAGGAGGGACTGCACTGGAGTGGGCTCAAGGTGTGGTTGAGCCAACAGACTCACCTGCCTGACTGACCAGGATGCATTGAAAATGATGGAACTACTTGGGGTATGTGGAACTGCTCTCACAGGGTATCCACAGGTCATTGTGGGACTGTGACATCAGCAGCAGCCATGACAACCTGTACCCACCTCAAACCACCCTTTGAACCACCCAGTATTTTGGGAGGATTTTCAGAGATAAGAAACTGAGCCTTGCACTTCACAACTGTAAGTTCATTTTTCACCACCGTATTGTTCAGCAAAACGAAAAGAACTAAGGAAGTGCAGGAAGATGCTCACTGCCCTACATGACAAGCTGGGATAAGGGTGGCCAAGAAAACAGCATTAACACCTGGGCACTACAGAGCTGTGCAATGAAAATGTGTTTAAATTATTTACACAAAGCAGACACTACAGGCACACGTGCTGCCCAGGAACATGTGGGCTCACTATCAGGGATTCTACCAGAACTACTACTGTGAGATGTGAGAGAGGCTTTGCACCTGCCAGGATTCAGTGTCTCTGTCTGTGCTGTCAACTCTGATACCCTACAGAGAAAGAGGTCTCTCAAAATTGGTGGAGGCAATAAAACCAGAAATATACAAAAGTTAAACAGATTCTCCATTTTATTTTGAATAAAAATTTAGATCCTAGATGGATACAGCATCTGTAAAACAAAACCAGAGAATCATGTTAGAAATCTTGTATTCAAACACACGTTTTGCAGTTACAATCTAGACCATGTTCAACTGCTATTAAAGCAATCCCCAGTTTATGCAGAAGAGTGTGAGAATGACTTGCAGGAGCACTTTGCTGGTGGCACAGACTCTGTGGCAGCCAGCCCTCCTGTGCACCAACAAGAGCTCCCATGGCTCTGGATTTCAGGAATTATCTGTGCTGCTCCTACTGTGCTTTTTCTAAGGCACAGGAGAATGACAGAAAGAAAGGACTGCACCCCTCTTGTACTCCTTTTGACAACATCACTATGAAAATATTACATCACAGCTCTGGGTGAGAGACTTAAAAGGACAGTCCCACTGAAGTCCTGTGGCTAAAATGCCCAACAGTGGGGACAGGTGGAAGTGGCCATGACAGAAGAGCACTGCCCTCAGTTAAAACATTTGGGATGCAAGAGAAAACTCAAAAGGCAGAGGAGTAGAAGAGTGCAAAAATATATAGAACAGATTGGTGGAAAAGAAGGAGCTGAGTCTTGGAGCTTGAAGTGTCTTTCCACACAAGCAAGCACACAAAGCCCTGTCAAAGAGACAAACCCCCTCAGCATATGAAGCCAGGAAAAAGCCTCTCTAGGCTCCAAAACAAACAGTCACCGAGCCATGCTGAACACCCAGCAGCAACACAACAAAACCAGAATTCAAATGTTCCCTCATACTATGTGGAATTAAAAGGCACCCCAAGACCTGCCAATAAAGATCTTGCTGCTAAACCAGGTCCACTTACCACCCGGATTCTGTGTCCAATGGCCTTGGCAGGAAGGTTGGAGCGGAACTTGGCGCGCACCATGCCACTGTTCCCATGGGCGCGTGTCACCTTCCCCCAGATCACGCGGGTCCTGTTGGGTTTGCCTCCGGGGGTTACCGTGTTGCTGGGGGAAAGGAGGCACAGAACAGCTCAGCAGGGCAGTCACAGCTCTGCTGTCACCAGCAGTGACAATGTGGTTTCTCAAAGGCACTGCAATAATGTACCTCTGTAGCCATCTTTAACTAGAGCAACATCCTCTTTTATTTACTTGTGGAATTCTCCGGGATTTTCACTGCCCTTTCAAAGGTGTAATTACAGCTTGTAATTGATCAGAAGTTCCACTGGACAAGTATTAACAGCTTACAAAGCTCAAATATTTGGAAAACACTTTTGCTAACAGGATGAGACTGAAAAATCAACAATATGAAATTGCCAACACCTTATTTCTCCAGACACACTGAAGGCAAGAGAAGAAGAGGCCATTGGGATAGATGGCAGAAATAGCCTTAAATGAAGAGCCATGGACCATGCTGGAAATGATGGTGGTCAAGTTACCAGTTTGATCAATTTTATTCAAGGTAATTCTAACAGCACTCAAGAAAAAAAAAGTGGAAGTAATAAGCAACTGATCCTAAGGTGCCTACCAATGGCAGCAGAGCAGAAGTGAAAGACATTACCCAGACACACAAAAGTCAGAATAAAAATTCATTCAGGCTTCACAAAATCACTTTACTGTTTAAGTAACTCAACAGTTCAAAGTATTTAACACAAATTCACCTCAATTTAACAGTATTTAACAGCACTCACCTCAATTTACCCCATCAACCCACCTTCAGTTTTTGCCAAGCTTTGGCAAAACTTGTTTCTCATCACACTTGCTCTCTAATGTCTCATGTAATATCATTGTCTCCTAGCATTTACAAAGCCAATACAGGAACTGGCTAATTCAGCACAAGAATAAAACATCACTTACTTTTTAGCTTTGTACACATAGGCACACCTCTTGCCCAGGTAGAAGTCTGTCTCCTGACGGGCATAAACACCTTCAATTTTCAGAAGGGCCGTGTGCTCCCGCTGGTTTCGGAGGCCACGTTTGTAGCCAGCAAAAATGGCCTTGCACCACAGCCTAAAGACATGGAAACATCTGCAAATTATGATCACTCCAAAGTAATAAAAATAAAAACAAATCACAGGCTGCTTCAGCAGAAACTAATTCCACACCAGTAGAAATCAGCAGAGGAAACAACCAACTTTTACAAATCACTGCAAATACTTATGTTCAATGAACAGAGGAAAGCTGAGTATATGGAACATGAAGTATTTGAGAGAACATTGCATTTTCTGCTTGTCATAAACTCCTGACACTACAATACTGGCTTCATACTGAGTTTCAAATGCTGCAGCATTAGCAGATATTGTTTCCAAATATCTACTAACAACGAGTAAACATTGCTTTTTTTCTACACACCACAGCAAGTCTCCTGTGTTGCAGTAACTGCTATAGAAGGCATCAGCTGCCTCTGATTTGTAGCTTTAAAGGAGTGAACAGCCAGAGTAACAGCCAGACATCCACTGGACACAGGCACTGCACAAACTCCCCAGTAATTCTTCAGGCACTGCCCATGTAAAGTCATTCCAAGACTTGTCCCACACACCGAGCAGACAGCACATCTGGCCCAAGGGCATCCAGCATCTGCCCCGGGATCCAGCAGGATCCAACTGAGATACCCAGTTCTACTGCCACACGTGTAACAGGACATCAACTCCAGAAATAATAAAGCTGTGATTCACAGAACCATCGAATGGTTTGGGCTGGAGAGGACATTTAAGACCATCCAGTTCTGACTCCCCAGCCAACTCAATCCCTACGGTGGCACAACAGAAAATTCACCCGTGGCAAAAACACATTACTCTGTTTACTTAAGAAAAAAGTCCATGCCAAAGCTCCACTGTACACTGGAGATTAACAAACCCACAAATTTCACACTGATATTTACTGACAGGCCAGGGGGAGCGCAGCACATCGAAACAGCACCTACAGCCAGCGCAAAAGGCTTCAGAACAGGGACACACAGCTGTGGGCGTTCAATAGGGCCCGGCAGGACGCCGGGCAGAGGAACGCCGGGCAGAGGAACACTGCTCATGGCCCACAGCTTCAACAAACGCTCTCAGGAACGTTCCGACAGCACCGAGCCGAGAGCCAGCACTCACTCACCTCCCGGTCATGGTGTCCTCCCGCAGACCCGGTCCCGGCAGGCCTGCAAACGACACACAGCCATGAGCCCCGGGCCCGCAGTTCCACCCGGCCCGGCGAGCGGGACCCCGAACACCGGGGGGCTGCCCGGGAGTCACCCGGAGCTCCGGGAGCCTCCGCTGCCCCCCAGAGCAGCCGCCTCAGCCCCGCTCCAGCCGAGGGCCCCAGCCCGCGACAGGGACCATCCGCCGCGCATCGGCGCCATCCCGCCTTGTCTCCGCCCCGGATCGCGCCATCCACCGCGCCCCGGGAGCCCCGCGCCCGCCGGCGGCCCCACAGCGGGAGCAGCACCTCCCAGCCCCGCTCCCGGCCCGCGGCCCCGCTCCTCCTCACCCGCAGCGCCCCAAGATGGCGGCGAAAGAGACCCGCACCCCGCTGCCTGCCGGGAAATGCGCTGCCAGGACCCGAGCGGGCAGCGCGAGCCCTGCCGGAGTGAGCAGCACACAGTGAGGAAGGTACCGCCCGTCCCGTGTCCCCCGTCCCGTGTCCCCTGTCCCCTGTCCTGTGTTCCGTATCCTGTGCACGCGTGCTCCAGGGCGATCCCGGCAAGATCGATCCCAGGAGGGGAGGCCCCAGCCCCGCTGCGCAGGCACCCGCCGGGCAGCCCCGCGAGGCCCCCGAGCGTGGTGGTTGCCATGGAGACGGGCGGCGCATCCCGGTGAGGGCGGGAACGGGACCGGGACGAGAACCGGGAGCGGGGAAATGGGGGCAGATCCCGGTGAGAGGTTGAGGGGAGCGCGGGCCGCTCTGGGCATGGCGAGTGAAAATGGGCCGCGGCGGTGGAACGAGCCGAGGGGCCCGAAGAGAGGCAGCGCGGGGGGAGAGAGCAGCCCTCGGTGTTCTGGGTGGGCTCCGGGCCCTGCTCGTCGTCCGATGTTCTCACCCTGAGTCAGTGAATCATCTCCACATTTATTTTACTTCTGATATCACCTCGGAGGCAGAAAACATATTTTGACACTGAAATCCCTGTAACCAAGTCTCACATTCCTTTATTTTCCAAAATAAGATCTGGAAGCATGTACTTACCCATTTGCTCACGTCAGGTTATTCACTCCCGATTTCTGCCACTTCTCTCACACTGCCAGAAATTCAGATACATTTTCAGAGCACTTGAAGTGATTTAGGGGAAGGAAAGTGAAGGGAAGGGAAACCTTGAGGAACCTTGATGGTCCCTTTCCCTTTCCTTCTCTTCCCATCCCTTTCTCTCCCTTCCTCTTCCTCTCCATTCCTCCTCTTTCCTCTCTTTTCCTTGCCCCTTCTCCCTCCCCTCTTATTATTTTTTTTAAATGAGCACCTTGCTGTCCTAGTATTTCAAGCAGGAAGCAGAGCTGTGTAAGGTAAGGCCACACCTATTTTACTTTTCAAGAGACCTTTCTTTGGTAAAAATGAAGTTACTTGTGATTTCTGGCTCAGCTGCTGCTCCTGTGGATATTCAGAACCTCTCTTTGCCAATCATTTGCCAAGCAGATCTAAAGAGGATGTGACATTCTCAGCTATGCATTTTATCACTGGAATTCACTGGAGTCTCTTCTCTTGACTTCAAGGAATGCTGCACAAAATGCTGCTCTTGTATCCATTTTCCTTTATCAGGCAGCAGGGTGGGAGAAATGAACATCCAGGACTCTCACACAGCAGAGGGAGTTGTAATCCCCAAAGGAGCAGGAGGCCAGACCTTTTATACAGTTGCTTTAAAAATTATTACTTGATATGTTTTTCTTTCCCTTTATATCAGCAGGGAAAGAATGTCATCCAAAACTCACGGGGGAATACTTTTTTTTTTTTAATTATTATTAATAAAGTTTAATGAGGGAGTTCAGCAAACACAACAGTGCAGGGTGATGGCAGTGGATGGTCTGAGGGGCCCTGGGCTGACACTGAAATCCAGAGCAAGCAGCTCATATCTGTAGAGTTTGCTAATTCACAAATTGTGGTTTCCTTCTCAAGTCCAACTTAACACAAGCCCAGACCCTGCTGGCTTGGCACATGGATCTGCTGAGCAAGGATGGGGATGAAAGAGAAGTTACACAGGAGGAGCAAAGCAGCAAAGGGCCTTTAGAGAAACATTCCAGCTGCCAGCTGTCTTGAAACATATTAATATCCTGAATTAATCCTCTCCTGGTCAGAAGCTGCTAATGGAAAAGAGGAAAAGCTGCTGCATCCTCCTTTGTTTCCAAATAAGTCACTTTTTCCTATGAGAGCTGCACGTGTTATTTTTTTTTCCAAAAATGCTGCTGTAATCATCTGTCACAGCTATCTACCAACACATCTTTTTTCACCATATTTTTAGCATTATGACTCCACATGTAATGGATTATTCTTAGGTTGTTTAGACTCAAAATATGGGTCATGGATTTCTGAAAAACATAAAAGTTAGTAAAACATTGAAAAATATTTTATTAGTGCCTGTTGACTGAAGACACTGCTTTTCTTGATGAAAAAATGCTGCATCTCCAGTTCTATAATTGATTCCAAGGTTGACAAGAAAAGTGATGGGTTTAGTGTATTATACAGATCACTTGCCATTTTTTTTGTTAATACTTTTATCAGATTCCTATCTCAAGTTGTTATAATTAAGATAAAAGAGAGAAAAAAATCTCAGAAGCAAAGGGATGAAATCACTTCCTTCTTTGTCCTAGGTGACCATCAAAAGCCCTGCTCAGAGGAATTAGATGTAAGTGCTTACAAACAATACAAGTATAGTGAACATACTGATAATATTCAGAATCATTACTTTGCTGCTATCTTTTCCTGCCATGATTTAAACAATCTTCTTGAAATAAATCAGGATGCCTCTACCATTACCTTGGCTGAAAGGCTGTTCTGTATCTTCATCCATTCAGGAGTTAGAAACCTTATCACAATGGCCTGGCTTAGGGGAATTCACTCTCTTTTGACCCAGAGCAGTATTATCTTTTACCTTAAATGCCTCTGTCTCTCCCTGGTCTCTGCCCTTCCTATGGATTTACTGAGAGCAATCCCAGTCACTGCCCTGTGCACACTTTCTAATCTCACTCCCAGGGAGAGCCCTGTCCTCTTCCAGCACATTTCAACAAGTGTTGCATTAAACAACTTCTGCAACAGACAGGGACATCAGGAAATAGATGTGTGAAATCTGAGTTTGTTTTGAGTTTGAATCTTTTGTTTGTTTTACCTATTCTGTACTAACAGACATCAAATAAACCTGCACTGAAAAGTGGCTCTTCTTTTCTGCCAAGTGAAATTAACTTCATCATCCACCTGTAAATTACGTACTTTCTTCAAAAAAACAACAAAAAAGGAGGAGGACAAATGATAACTGCTACAGAAATGTTATAGCAAGTATGAATCTTTTTAAACACTTGCTTATGAAGTATCACTGATTCCCAGTGATGCAGAGCAAAGCTGCCTCCAAACCTCTTTAATTTTCACGGAATATGGCCATGTCCTATGCTAACAGGGACTGCCTGATGTGTTTCCTTGGCATGCTTACAGGTTGGGCTGTAATATTTTGCAGGCTCAGGATATGTTTATGCAAGGGTTTTAGAGATGGCACAAATCCAGTTGTAGGTAGAGCAGCCAAATTAAGATTTTGTTAGTGGCTGTTGATACTTCCATTGCAATGACACTCAAGATCTCAGCCACCTCAGACTGCAGTTGTGCTACATGTTGTACAAGAAATACCTGCTTTGTATGTACAGGCTTTGGAGGGATTGTCCAATGGCATATCAAAACATTACAATTCTCAGAGAATTTCCCCATTGTTGTGTAGGTGCTTTCTTAGGTATTTTTAGATTAATAGTGAATTTTCACTTTTCCTTAGATATGCTTACACAATATTCCATCTGTAGGCAAGGCAAAGGGGTGATTAAGTGTATGTCAGAGCAGTTTCATGTTTGAATTGCAAGTTAAAATAAAATAATACAGAAAGTTAAATATTGTTTACTCAGTCCAGATATTGGTTCTTGTTTAACTTTCAGCATCTAAAGATGGTAATAACAGTTCCTGCTAAGAGGGGACTGGGATCATAAAAGTGTGAAGGCTGCACAATAATATTGAGGAATGATTAGAGCATGAATATTCACCCTCTGACACTTTAAAGGATATGGATTTATGTTTTTCTTTTGAAAAGGCACCTTTCTTCTGTCCTTTCCCAAAGTCCACTCTGAACCACTGCTCCCCCCTGAACTGAATAATGAGGCACTCACCCAGTTTGTGCCCTCCATACCCATTCCCTTCTCAGCCTGTCTACCCAGATCTGCTGGAGGAGGGACCAGGACTTCTTTGTTTTGTGAAAGCTAAACATTCCCACTGTCCCTGAATGCAGCCATTAGCAGAGCCCAGCTCCTCTTATAAACAGTGTATGGAAGGTTATAAACAAAGCCAGGGAAGTATATGTAAGGCTGCAATAAGGCTATTTTGGGTCTACCTTTAGTTTAAACTACTCTTACTGACATTACTAACACCACAGCATTTTTCTGATTGGTATCTTTTATCTTTGTTCCTCCTAGCAAGAACACAGAGACTAAACAAATGGAAAAAATCACTCATGTGGAAGCTCTGATGTTTGGTGCTGTGCTGGAGAGCTGTGTGGATCAGCTTACAATTATTGGATACATCATGCCAGTTCCACCTTCAGACAAGGCAGACATCAACCTTGTATGTGCCACTGCTTTAAAAGATGTATATCACGTATCTTTTTTTTTTTCTTTGTCTTGGTTTTATATCTTTTACCAGTGATTTAAAAAAAATCACTCAAATATATTTTCTGTGATTCTATGACTCTTGGGTGAAGAAACACAATAAAAGTTACCTAATTTAAATATTTATATTGCAGCATCACTGAGAAGCCTTGGTCAAGAATTTGTGCAAAGGACTCTTCTGATCCAAGATGAAGTTTCTAAGATTATGATTTTAAAATCTCTGTGGTTCGACAATAAGCAAAGAATTGGGGAAAAGGAAGGAAAACATATGTAGGTTCTTCTGTAGATACAGAGCTATTTTAAAAGTAGAAATGTATAGGTTATTTCAAAGTACTCAAAACCAGGTTAATTCTATTCCTCTCCAGGTCCATGCCAAAGATCCTTTTGTTCTCACAATGTATTAAGAAAGATGCACTTCAAAATATATTAGTAACTACCCTTTCTCAGTGCTCATTAATTATTAGTTGATTTCTAATAGGCATCACAGCTAAGATGGTTGGGCAGAGATGTGGAGAACAGAGAATTCCTAATGCTCAGGCAGGGGTTTGTTGCTGTGGAGGAAGGTGGTGTGACATTTCTGGTAGCTGTTAGACATAGGAGTCAGGATGGGACTGTCCTGAGGGGTCAATGGCTCTAAGTACTGTGCCCTATTCATGACACAGCAGGCTCTTTCCAGTTCTAGCAGGTTTGAAACCTTTTTAAGATGAACTCAATAAAAAGTTCACAACCAGGATGGAAATAAAAACCGGGATCTGAGTTTTGACATCTAATGATGTTCACTCTGTCTAATGTACCACTTAAGAATGCCAGAGGAAGTTAAATCAAATTTTTCTACGTGCTTCCTTTCCATATTACTTTTTCCAAAAAATCCATGGCAAAGCAGCAGCTGGAGTTAGAGTGAATTTCAGCGTGGGAACGATGCTGTCTCTGTGCCATAGAGGGCACTGCTCCCCTGAAAGACTCCTGGGAGCGGCCTCAACTGCTCCCAGAGGATGCTTCTCCCTCTCTTATGTGCCAGCAGCAAAAGACAGAGAAAGAGCACATCTCTGGGACAGCAGGAATTGTCCTCTTCAGACACACAGACTCAGGTTGATAGATCTACTGAAGGGACATGTAAATTACAGAGAAAACACCTTTGCTTTTCTCTTCAATCACAGATGCTCATTTTCACCAAGTCGCATCTTGGAACGCAACTTTCTCACAGGTTAGAAACCTTACGTGTGTTCTTAAAGATTTCAAAACAATTTGAGGAGGAAACAATTTAGAAACAAGAAAATGGCTTAGGGAAGCTACTTGCTAACTTTGGTGCTCTGTAATTTGCTACTCCTCCCTGTTTCTCAGATTACATTTGGCTGTTTTCATTGCATTTGTACAAGATCTGTATTTGCAAAGTACCCTGGAGTTCTATCAGGCAGACAAAGCAATGGCATCTTCAAAGACTGACATCTGAATTTCAGTTGATGACATTTTTGAGAGGATTAATCACAGTGTTGGCCAGCACCTCACTGATTTTCCAGATTGGATGCTCTTGCACATTGCTTCACACAGTGCATGCCCCAGAGGAAGGCAGCCTTTGTATTTGCTGGATTTTGGGCAACACACAAGCACTTAGGAGACTACACAGATGGTAACACATGCAGTTTATAAAGTTCTTGCTTTTACGTAGTTATTTGTTGATTATTAGTGTGTAAGTACCTACTGTTTACAGACAACCCAGTTATTGCCTGCCTTGAACTTTCCCAGACATTAAAAAACATCAGAACATTCATAAAATCTACATGATATTAAAGCAGTTTGTTTGCCAAAATTAGTTCTTTCTGAAGTGCAGTTGTCACCAACCAGCTATTTAAGCCCTTTTTTTTTACTAATTAACAATGCAATTTTCATTGGACAGTGTATGTTTTGTATATGATTCATTTAAAGTAAATTTAACAGTCCAAAAATTAAGCACACAGTCACTTATCCTCCTTCTGTAGTCACTGGTGAGTCAGGCACTGCCAGAGGCTGATCCACCCCAACCAGAGCTGTCCAAAACACTCAGCATGGAGCAGTTCCTTGCAGTGCCCTCACAGACTGCAGCAGCAGCTCCAGCCTCTGACAGAGCCTTGCCTGACAAGTAACTTTTGCAAGTACTCCTGGCATCCACAGCTGCTGCCCTGACCACTTGTTTTCTCTGCTCTGCTGGCACAAATGTGTGTGTGGTTGTGGAAGGATCTGGACTGAGAGCTAGTGTTGCTAAAAATAATTTTTTTTTTTTTCCTTTTTGCTGGAAAATGTTTCATCACAGTGAATTCTCTGTCTGCTTCCCCAAGCAGCCGGGGTGGGGAGCAGGCAGCTGTGCACAGGGATGGGGCTGGCAGAGACTGTGTTAGCTGCAGTCAGCAGTGCTGTTAGGAAGTGTTCAGCCACAGAAATGCTGGTAGGCAAGCAACAAAATGTTCTCTTTTAATGTCCCAGTGTATACACCTGCATTTTATCCATAACACATGAAACAGAGAATTTCCTAAAAGCAAGAGCTTAGCTGATTTTATAGTGTACTTTTGCATTTTTGGGGGCTTTTCCTTTTTAAATGAAATTGTACTCAATCACAAGATACCTTTCCATGAAGGAGAGAGATGGAAAGTACACCTTTCCATGAAGGAGAGAGATGCCAATATTTTGAATTTATCCTTTGAATTCATGTTATATTTCCTCTGCTGTTACCCTCTCAAAAAACCTGCTAAGCAGATAGCAGACAGAAAGTCTATTGCAATTATTTCCACACAGCTCTAGTTATAAGAATTATATTGTAGGGAAAGGTTGTGGTGACAGGCAGTGGGAAATGCCTAAGATGGAGAGAAGGAGGAAGAGAAACAGGCTAACAGTTTGTAAAAACTGCTGCAAAAAAGGAGGGAACAACTTGTTCTCTGTGCCTAGAGACCAGGACAACAAGCCAGGAGTTCAAATACTGTTGAGGAGAAAAAACTTTCTTATAGTAAAGAAAATTGTGAGCTGCTGGCATTGACAGGAGGGTGCGTAGTCTGCACTGCTGGAGGCCATTAAGAACATGTCAGATTAAGAACAGTCTGAACCATCATCTCTTGGAATGGATGAATTCACCTTTTTAGCCCTTTTCTAGTCCTGTCCTTTTAGGGCTTCTGAGCCCATAAACTTCAATGAGCTACACTGTGTACTCAAAACTAACCAACAGAAATGTTTCTGATCTTCCACTCTTGGCAAAATGTAACATACACTATCAGCTGTTCTCAGTATAGCTTCATTCCAGTTAATTACTAATTTTCCTTCCTATCACATAATGTTGCAGAGGGTTTAGTTCTGCGTGCAATGTGCAAGCAGGTCTCTCTTATTCCCTTTTCTCTCATACTCTTATTTCCCTTATCCCCTTTCATTCTCATCCAGGAAACGAAAGTAGTGATCCAGGAGGAGCTGGGTATCAACTTCCCAGAGCTTATGGCAGCAAAGCAAGAGAGTGGGCAAACAGTCCTGGAAAACACTGAACAAGAGCAGCAGCAGGGGAAAACTGAAGATCACAAAAGATCTTCCAAAACCCCCAAGAAACACATCACACGGGCTCTAGAGAAGCTCAAAAAAATCTATGCTGACAGGTGAGTGAAGCACCTGTGAGGGATGCTCAGAGCTGTAAAGTTCTCAGTCTATCTCTTGAAAGCAAAAATACAAATTCCTTGCTCTCCCACTGCCAGAGTACATCAGTCTCTGTCTGAAAGGAGTTCCTCTAGGGATAGGAGGGATATCCTTTCTAGGCCATTTAGTTCCAGCCTTTGCTTGCTTCTGGATGCCACCTAATGACCAGCAGTTTATTTCGAATGGAGCTGTAAAACATCACCCCGTTGATAATGGTTGCCTGGGTAGAAATCATGCCAGGCACTAATCAGTGCTCATGTTCTGGTACCTGGACTCAGGTTCCTTTAGCTGATCCCACATGCAAAGGGAGATCTGAGCCCTGTTTTTGAACTCAGTCATTCTGCAGGGCACACAGAGCTTCTGTGGCAGTTATAGCCATTATAGAAAAGGTAATGTATATAAAAACCAAAGATTTTCTTTCTTTTTTAAAACAAACTTTATTCCTGCACCTAAACCAGTGCCCTGATTTGCAGAAATACCAACAGCCTTTGATTTGAAAGAGATTATGCAGCTGAATGCTCAGTATGCATTTTTCTGCATCCTGGCTTCCATCATTTAATGTCATTTCAACAGTGGGTTTAGGGAAGATTCTGACACAAATGAAGAAAATGCAGCTAAAATGTAAATGCCACATGCATCATGATATTCCAAGCCCACGTATTGCATGGCCAGGTCTCATTTTCTGAGATCCACCTGCCATCACTACTGCAGGCCAGCAGCCTTCTTAATGGCAACACAGTCTGGCACAGCATGGATATGTTTGTGTCTCTTTGCAATTTCTCAGAGTAGCATGCAGGGCAGCATTTTAAATTATAAATTTCAAGCAGCTCATAATACTGAGTTCTCCAGATGTACAATAAACAGATACCATGGGACAAGCACTCCTGGGTTTGATAGGACATAAGACCAGAAAAGGGATATTTTATTTCCCTACATTTTACTATAAACAGTAATGGATACTACCAGCACCTGTAAAGTATTGTTGTGTTCCTTTTCTTCCTGGCAGGCAGTATGCAAGTGATGTAATCACAGTCACTATTAAAAAGATGGAAGAATTGGGAACATTTAGTAGCCTAACAGATGCTAATGAGAGAGAGAAGGCAAGAAAGGGCAAGTTTTATGACATCCTCGTCAGGTCAGTGTTGTGTTCAGTTCTTCCCTGTTTAAATGCTAAAAGCCATTCCCACTCAATATATGCTGAAAAGGAAATAGAACCCAATAAAACTAAAATACAGAAGGGATACCTTTTAAAGCTTGAATTATTCTGTTTGCTTTGCAAACTGCAAATTTTCCCCTTTGGAAAGAAACAGTGGATGGGTCTGATACTGATCTGAGCTAGGAATTGCCTGAGCTTTGACCACAGTGGACACCAGTGGCTGAATTAGTGCAAATGCCTCATTTCAATTAAAACATAATGTGATGTAGGAGCTCCTTGATCTTTTACTGCTGTCCCCAGTGAAAGCCAGAGCAGCAGAGAATCTGATCAAATCAGGGCCAGCAACATATGGCCTTTAGGTTGTCTGATGCCCAGGAGAATCTGCTCTGACCCATATGCTAATGGGCTCCCTTTTCCCAGCAGCAGTGAGGGGTTAGCACAGATGGTGACAGAGGGGTTGTATTTAAGGCTAATCCACCAGCCACTGTGCTGTGATTCTCTTCTGTCCCAAATCTTCCAGGGCACACATTTGTTATAATCTCAGCTCAAACTGGTGATTTCTCAGCTCAAACTTTTGAGATCTAAAGGTGGGGGTTTTTTTGTTTTTTGGGTTTTTTTTCCTTTTTTGTTTTAGGATGCAAACCTCTGGTTCAGTCCCGAACTGTCAGAGAGAACTGCAGACAAATATTTCATCACTTTAAAGCTACCTCAGTGTAGCAGCTCAGGCCCATCACTGAGGGTGCACAGCAAAGCTGCTCTCAGTCATGATTTGCCAAGAGTCCAACCTACTGGAACTGCTCTTGTGGTGACTCAGGGATCTGCCTCCAGGGCAAATCACCAGCTTCAGTGCAATGTGTCACTTCAAGCATGAAACTCAACTCTTCCACTTCCACTGCCTAAAACCAAGGGATTTATTGTTTATCCATGGAAGGGACAGAAAGCAAGAATGAGATTAGCAATTGGCTGTGGAGTAACTATCCAATACTGACAGGTACAAATTATAATGAGAAAGGACATAATCCTTTTTATCCCTTTCTGTCAATCATATCTAGCCATGTTGTACTATACATTCTTTTCATGGAATGAACTTGATCTGTCTTGCAAGATAATAAATACTTGCCTCATTTTGTGTAAATACACTGTTCTGAAAGCCACCTGCAGTGAGATGATGGGAGACTCCTCATCAAGAGCTTTTGTTCATCAGTCACCCAGATAAGGACTCTGAAAATGAAATGCATATGTGATTGTAAGGTTGGAATAGGATACAAAGTTTCAAGGACCAATTGTAGTATTTACTGGTTTTAAAACTAATAATAAGCATAAAATCTAAGAGAAGAACTCTGAATGAAACAAGATAATACCTAGAATATTTACTGCATCTGTTTTGTTTTAGACAGATGAATGCTTCTCTAGGTTTTGGTCTTCACTCAGGTCCCTTCATGATCTCAGAACCTGGGGCAGTGCTCTTTGGAAGATTTTAGGTCTGATATGAAAGAAACAACATTCTCATACACCTAATGACACAATTTGGCACTCTCTGCTGCTCAGGCTTGCTATTGTATAGAATCTCAGGCATTTTTGCCTAAATGTAGAAACTGTGACTCAATGACAGGCATCTTCCATCTCCACTACAATAATTGCATCATCCTCAAATCCATTCCAGGCCTTCAATAAGAGCATCCCCTGTTTTTTTGGCTTATTCTCCCTTTTGTTCCCATCTGCCTTGCTCAGTCTATGCACCTCTTCTTTCAGGATTTACTGACCAAGTCAGTAGTTTTGGTGAGAAGTCTTTGTTTATCTTACCTCAATGTATCAGGAGACAGGAAGTTCCTCTTCTAGGTAAACAGCTCTTGTCTTTTTTGATATATTCAAGTGATTGTATTTTCCCACCTCAGGGAGGAAAAAGGAAAGAAGGACATAAAGGCACTCCAGAAACAGCTGCAAGAAGTCAAGAAACAAACTGGTCAAGACCTTCAGGTGAGAGCACTTAGCACTGGGCATCTTGCCAGGGGGAAGCCTGTTAGGAAGCTGGCCTCTGCTGCCCAGCACTCAGGGGGGCCATGGCCATACACAATGAGCCACCACTTAGGAGTACAGGAGCAGAACAGTTACAATAAAGATTTGTACTTGGAATAAGCCCACTAATGACTTCAAGAGCAGCATCTGATGGTTTTCAAATGGGAGCTCAAAATGCTCATAATCATGAGAGACCGTGGTCAAATTAGAATATCCCAAAAACTCTGCTGGGAGTGACAAAGCACAGATAGTGCAATCAGTAAGAAAGAGGTTATCTGCAGATAACAATATCTAAGGTCCTGTCATACTCAGTCATAACAGATCATTTGGCACAGAAGGAAGTGTGCCAAAGGGAGTGAGATAGACACCTATCATAGGGGCAGACCATTTTTCCACCTACATTTTCATCTGGGGAAAGTGTCATTCTATTAATCTATTTTTCTAGGCTTCCAGACATCAGAAAATCCCAAACATGCCTACACAAGGGCAGATCAATGTTATTGCACATATGCTGTCAACTTAATCTTTCTGGAAAGCTTCAGCCCTTCTGTCTGCATCATGCAAAGGGTGTGTGCATGCACAGTAAATATGGGGCATTCTGGAAATAGAAAACTTGCTACACTAGTGCAGATCAATTGAATGGCTTATCACTGGTCACTTCGATGCTCACCAGACAGCTCAGACTGGATGCTCATTCAACATGGAAATGTAACCTGGCCCTGCTGAGGCAGATGTGTGGTAGCAAACAAGCAGAAGGGAAGCTGGGGCAGAGCTGTACAGGGGCTGGGGGAAGGAACAAGAATCTGACACTTGGTTCAGTGGTGAGCAAGAGGATAGCAAGGGCATCTGAGGAAAGAATTGGTGTCACTGAGTTTTGTCTTTGGATAAAAGTGTGGAGAGTAATCAAGCCAGGATACAGTTGACTACAGAGAGGAAGTTTAAGCTTCAGACATGCTGGTGAAGTTTGGTTTGTAGAACACAAAGGTTTTGTGTTGGCAGCCTGGATGCATACACAGTGGAAAGTTTAATTGTAAATACAGGAGAGACCTACTTGCTTCTCACACTGTCCCTTCTCAGTCAGACTCTGAGGGCTCCTGGGAAGTTCCTGCTCTCCCACTCCCCAGGCTGGTGAATGTTATGAGGTATTTCTCCATCTGTGTAGTGCTCTGCAAACCTCACCATGTCCATGCACACAATACACGTACCCAGTCCTGGTTTAATGCCTTCCCAGGGGCTGTAATCATCCTGTCTTGTACCAGCAGCAATGTTCTGGCCCTCCACAGCCAGGGGGCCTCTTTTCTGTGTCCTGCCCTGCACCTCCCCTACCTCCTGCAGTCATAAAAATGTGTGTAGCTCCCGTGCTGAGAGGGGGGGGATCTTCTTGTCCTTTCTAATTCAGTTCTTGGGGTTTGGCCTCATCAAGTGGGATTTGCACTTATGTGGGATTTTTAAAAAAAAATATTTCAAGCTTAAAAGTCTTTTTCTGAGCTCCCTTATAGTTTCAGCTTTGATAAATCAAAGACAAGACTACTTTAAAGTACTGCTTTCCTCCTGTGCCAAAAATAATGGTGTCTCACTGTGTCTCCCAAGGGAGAATAATTTCTATTTGCTTCATATGGGATTTTCCTATAGGCAGTTTTACAGACACTTGCATGATTTGTCACCTTGCCAACTAATTAAAAATAAAAATACAGCTTCATTGACTTTGGAGTACTTTGAACAGCAGTAATAATGCACAGACCTGTAGACAAAAGCCTACATGGCTGAGAAAACAAAAGCGAGCAAATCTAATCCTGGAACCAGAAAAACATGGCCTTTGTCTCACTCATGTTGCTGTGAATTTGTATTTTCAGCCTTTCTACCTCTTAATAAGATGCTAATTAATAGTGTATTAACCTGCTCAACTCATTTTTCTTTCTAATGGAACACAAATCTAATGCTAAATGTTCTGTATTTTGTTTTCTCTTGGAAAGCACTGATGTCTCTAAAAGAGCTGAAATGGTGAATCTGGTTTTGCTCTTACCTCTCTGTACAGGAGCAGCACTGGTAGCTCAGGTTTGGCTGCAGGGGGTCTGTTTGCTGCTGCTGTGTTCATTTCATAGTTTCTATGAAAAGACTTTCTCTGGTTTCCTGGACAAGTAACAGCAGTCTATGCAGCTTTTGAAACATATTAAATATATCATACAGGATTGTACAGCATAAGATAAAAATTTAGGAATGTAAAATTTAGCATTCCTGCATTGTTCTTCACCCAAAGACTTTTTATGTCTGTAGATTTTGTGGTGTACTCATGTTATACATGTGTGCAGGCAGTGGTGTCATTTTATAACAAGCAGTAATGTTACAGCTACCAAACAGACAGAAAGCCAAGCCACTGCACCACAGGACCAGTGAAAACAGATCTGTAACTTTAATTCTTTGTCAGTTCTCAAAACACACCCAGACCCACTGTATCAGTGCATCACTCAGTCATGCTTTTAGTAGCAAGATTAAAACCCATCATGTTTCTTCCCTTTTCCTCTCCCAGGAGGACAAATGCATCAACAGAGTGTTCTGTGGAATGTTTTAAACACATACACACACCCACTGGTGCATGTTTCTACTGGAGATATGCACAGGATGATTACAGCAGAAGGCACAAGTTTTGTGATGGTCCTGAGCTTCCCTGCTGGCAGAGCCCCAAGGAGCCCTGCAGCACCTGGAGCTGGTGCACTAAATCCAGAGGGGCAGGGTTTTCCATAGGAGTGCTGCTGCCAACAGGTCTGCTCCCTCTGCCAGCAAAGTGCCCCTCCAGGGGCTCTCCTGCAGCTGCTGGCATTGCTGCTGAGCTGGCCAAGGGCTGCAGAAACGTTCTGTCCATGCCCTGCTGTCTCTGGGGCAGCACAGACATTCCCCAAGGGTGGTGTGGAGCTGGGACAGTGATGCAGGCAGAGCCCTACTGAAGGGCCTGCAGGGCTGCTGCTCCCCTGTTGTGGTTTCAGGGGAGTGAGCCCAGGCTGCAGCAGCTGTGTGGATCCAAGCTCATCTCCAGGCCCTGCAAGCTGAGATGCCCCAGCTGTCAGGAAGAGCTTTGAGCTCTGAGTGCTCGGTGTGGGAGCAAGGCAGAGCAGGGCCTCTGTCAGCACAGAGCACAGCACTCCTTCCCCTGCCAAATGGGCAGCATTGCACTGCTGCAGAATTCCTCAGACTGTTTACTCCTGGGGGCTATTTTTGTAACCAGCTGTATTTTATGACTGTAAACACTAATTGCTGTGGAAGAGCTTGGTGGCACTTACAAGAGAGATAAATCAAAGCAAATGAAAACATAGGAGTGTGGATAAGGTTTCCAGCTAAGTGCAGCTGCTTTTGCAGCCAAATAGCATCTGTGGGGATGACTCCAGTGGCACCAGGTGACAGCAGACAGGCCCCTGAGCCGATGTCTGTGAGCTGAGAGATCAGAGAAAATCAGCTTGTTTACCTGCTTGTGAAGCAGTCTGGCTCCTGACAATTATTTCCTGGGTTTTGATCTTGGTCTCTGCCAGTTTTCTGATAGTTTTGGATATGAGGGACGATTTGGTTTGGCAGATTCAACGGTGAAGTCATCCCAAATAAGCTGCCCAGAGATTTACTGCATCAACTATGAAAGCATTCCATGTCCTGGCGTGGACCTTTGCTATGATAAACCAGAATGAATAAATATTAACTCATTTTCCCAGTTATTGTCCCTGAAGTTTAGGGAACAGCACACTCTGCAGATGGTACCCACAGCTAGTGGGCATTTACTGCTGCATTTACAGCCTTGAGCTAAACCCCAAAGGTGGCCCAGCTCTGCAGGTCCTGCAGCAGGAGCTGCCCTCACACCCGCAGCCCGCATTCCTTGGCCAGGCAGATGCTGCTGTAAACCACCCTTCACTTCCTGTCTGCTTTGGATTGTGTAACCAAGCCCCCAGACTCCCCACCTCTAACCAGTGTGTTTTACAACACTGCAGACCAAATCCAAACCACAGACATGCCATTCACCAGAGAAAACATGATGAGCAGATGGGCCCCCATCCCGGCTGAGGCCTGGGGCACGGGAATCAAAAGCACTTTTTTCTTTAATAAATGTGAAATGAAAAAGAAAATAACCTGGTGAGAAGTTCATGCTCTGCCCCAACTCTCTGAGTACTTTGTAACCTAGGCTGAACCCTTATTTTCTGGCAAGTTGCAGATCATGAGCAGATAGCAGTAACATACTGACATCAGCAGTGTTTGACTTCCCTGAGCCTCAGCACCACAAAAAGTTGTGGGTTTGCTTTTTTTAAATTAGCATCTCCTCAGTCTCTCTGCTGGTTCTTCAGTTTGGACATCATTCCACTATGACCCAGGAAGACAATCTCAAAATAGAGTGGTACACTCACATCCCCTGTCTACTGACCAGGAACACAACTTCTCCCAATGGCCACCAAAGTTCCATGCCAGGGAAAATAAAGGCCATGACCAGAAACCTTAATGAGGCACAAACAGTTCATGTCTGCAGATGTCTGCAGTCATATGATGATATGGCCATAAAAATAGTATCTGATGTTTGAAACATTCAAAAAACATGTGAACATCTTTGAACCCACAAACAGCATCAGCCAAGGCCCCAACTATACTGAGCCTCATAAATGTACTCTACTCTTCCTATGCATGACAAGGGGTGCAGAAGGAAGGATTTTCCTTTTAACCGTTCCAAACTCTTCTTATAAGGAGACTTTTTCCAAATGAGTCATGCTGCAAGGGCTTTCAAACACAGCACTATTGAGCTGGCTTCTTTTAGTGGCATTTTTCCATGTTTACACAGCTAAGGAATGTGAGGTGCTTCAGAGACAAGATATGTGGGCTTCAAAAAATGTCAGCACTTTGGTATTTCATCTTCAGCTGTGGAGGTTTGGCTGATGAATATCAAACCCACCACAGCATGGCAGGGAAGCAAAGAGAAAGGCTGTAATGGAGCAGTTGGGTGCATTCACATTGATCTTGCATAATTACACAGGAAGCTTTGATGACCTTTTTAACTCAATAAAGTCTTCATTTTACAGGCATTTGTCCCAAGTTCCAACCACCGGGTTATGAACCTTTATCTGCTATTCAAATAAATTAATTAAAAAGGAGTAAACAGAACAGCAATCCCAAATCAAGCAAATGCTCTTGGCTTCCTGAGCATGCTCCAAAAGCTGGACAGATCACTCAGGATTCTGCTGTATGGAAGAATCTAGGGAACAGAAAACTGAACTTTCTGCCCCAGGAAAGCTCAGCTCCATTGCAGAGCAAGGCATGGGGAGAGGCTGGGACCTCATAGGCAGATTTTCCTTGACACTGCTTCCTTGCCCTGGGTGTGTTTTCATAATGAAGTGGGCACCATCTACCTGGTAAGATTTCAAGAAAGAACTGTTTGAAAATACGAGCAAGTCAGCATTAGATTTGCACTTGTTCCTAAGGCTGTGTTTATACAGTTGCTGCATAACTAGAAAAAAAAATAAATCCAAGGAATAGAGTATACTTTAGGATAACAAACTTTGGCTTTTGTGGGGCTGAGACATTATCCTCCTCTTACAGAGGCTCACTCACTGAGATAGTCTAATGCAAGGTGTTAGTAAAAGTAAAGCCTAACTTTAAGTGGTTAAAATTCTTTGGCTTTTATTAATGTTTATCTTAAGCATGACTGAATCAATTCCTTGACCAGAGAGCAGGCCTGCCTTCTTGTCCCACTCTGTTCCTCAGTCTGCTGGCTCCAGAGGCAATCACTCCTTGCTGATGGGTTTGTTGCTGCCTATATGGGTTACAGATCAAACTAACCTTTGAAATGCTCCTTGAAATGGAGCAACATTCAAGTGAAAGTGAAGCCCATAGCTTTGTCTCTTCTGACTTTATCAGGGAGTGGAGAGATTAAGGAAGGTGAGCTGAACTCAGTGTCCAGGCTTGCTTTTGTGCTGCTTTTGTCTCCACTAGAGACGAGAAAAAGTTATTGATGGCCTTAAAGATAAGCTTCAAGAGATCACGGCCAAAGTGGACACAGAGAGCAACTACCTGAAGAAAAACTCAGATCTCCAGATCCAACTAACCCAGAAAAAGTGCAGCAGTGCAGAGAATGCCCTGGAGAAGGAGATCCAGGTAAGCCCTTCCCCATGGCCCATACTGAAAGGCCTCTCCATCTATTAGGGGAAGAGCCCTCCCTTGCTCCCCAGATGCCCTCTCTTCTCCACTGCAGTCACCAGCACAGCTGTTTGAGCTGGATGAGAAAACTCACTGGGGATAGACACCTTTATCTCTTCTATTGTTCCTCTGTATGATGCTGCAAACAGCAACAACAAGGATAGCATGGCTGTAGGAGACAGGGAATGCTTCAAGCAATGCCATGGCCAGAAAACCAGACCCAGAAGTGTATCCAAAGGTATTGGCAACCTGAGCTCCCAGCAGTGCCCCCAGCAGATTATACACATAGAGCTGCTTCTGTGGCCATAAGGACTAGAAAATGGTCTGGTTTTGCAAGCATCTTTTTTGACTGATCAAGGTCTGATCTAATTGTCCCTTTTTCATGGATGGCCTGGGAGCAAGGACTGCCTTGGCTGATTTTATCACTAGGAAAAATGTCTGTAGACTACACAGAGCTCCAGCACTTGTTACTCAGCTTTCAGCAGCAGTGTGTGCACACACACACACCAACAGTGTCTCACACATGTTCTGTCTGCTCTGATCACAGAATTTGAAGAGCAAAATTGATGAGGAGATTCAGCTTCACACAGAGACTGAAGATTTCCTCATGCAAGAGTATCAGGTATGTGTGACTGTCAGCCAATGCTTAAAATAGCAACCTATAAACACCATATCATCGATTAGTGCCCAAAGGAAAACAGTTATTGCTCCATCAAATGTACCAGGTTCATGACTGCTGCAGTTTGAATGATTACTTGTCCTCAAATCTTAATTAACCTAGCTCTCCAAGGCTTGGGATTTGCTACATACAGATATATTTCCTTAAAATTATGGTTCATGTAGTGAATTACATTGTTTATTCAGGTGTTATGGATTTTTCCTCTCTCAGATAGTTGTATTTGGCTAACTGGAATTTTATTTAGACCCTACTTGGCTGTCACTGGGGCTCCCAGCACCCCCAGTGAAGAGCCCAAAGTAAGGGCTGTGCAGAGGGGAGGGACACTGGGGAGGGAATGACACAAACTGCCAGTCCAGCCTTACCTGAGGAAGAATTGGGGTTGGATCATTGCTAACCACAACTACTGTACACATTTTCAGCAGCATGAATGACCTTGTGGTGTAGATTCAGAGGTTCAGAGCATTCCTGTTACTAACAGTGAATAACTTGACAGTGAATAATGCTGCAAAGCCTCTCATAAATGGTATGATGAGAAGAAAACCTGGACTGCTGCAGGGTGCCTGAGGTCACTGCCAGTACAGAATTTAATAGGAGATAATACCTTTTTAAAAATGTAATTTGAGTGCAAAGCAGTGGTGTATCTTGTGAGCAGTTGGACAGTGTGCTCTGCTCCCCAGAGCTTTGGTGTGATCAATGCTCCCAGCGAGGGGACAGCCCCAGCACACGCTGAGCCTGGCTGAGCTCCAGCAGCCGGCCCAGCAGCAGCCCCTCAGTGCTCAGACAGCAGCTGCTGCCTTTGCAGGGGCTGCAGACAGGAGGATGGCCATGCCCTCCATCCCCCTTGTGTGTCCAGCTGTGATGCTCTAACGAGATTGATGCTTTTCCTCAGATTATTTTTCCATGGAAGCAATCACGGTGGTTGCTATGGAGAAGTTATTGGTGAATAGGAGGAAGTCATCTGGGTGCCTGTTTCAGAAACACCTGCCCTATTCATGAACACAAAGCCAAGTTCACAACCTGAAATAGTGTGAAGTGCTGTCCCCTGGGACCTTATTCCTGGTGTGCTGAGCTTAATTCAGAAAGCAGGGAGGGAGTCAGGCAGAGGATAAAAGCTCTCCCACTGACAAACTGTGCTTTTTAAACCCTCCCCTCCTTCTGTATACACACACAACAAATGGCTTCTGGCTGTCACTTGCTTCATCAGAACTGACTGCACAAAATAACTGCCCTGCAGTAATTTATGAGTAGTCTTAGGGGTTTGATGCTTTCAAGATGAGAAGGAAACACTGACCATGCACAATTGACAGGACTCTCACCCCCATCCTGAAAGCAGGCCATGTAATGGTAGCAAACCTCTCACCTGTGCCCTCTTTTTGCACCATGCTGAGCACCACTCTCCCCATGCAGAAGGTGAAAGAGAGGCTGGAATACTGGATAGACAAGTATCAAAAAGACACTGCTGCAAAAGATCAAGAACTGGATGATCTAAGAGCATTAAAGGCCGAGAACTTGGAAACAATGCAGAGATTTGCCAAGGAGGTAAGACATCAGCATCTCAATGTTTCGCCATGCAAAATTGCATCGGGCTTTTTCCTACACTAATTTGGATAAGGAACCAGGACCACAGGAAAAAAATCAGTAATTTTGAGGCATAGGCTGTGATTATAGCACTTGTCTTGGGAAGACAGTGGCTGAGATGTCATCTATTTGCTGTGACATCAAGGAGGGATGATGATGTTTCCCCTATAGCTATTTTCAAATACCAGCAAGTAATGAGAGAGCTACTGACAGACTTGTGAGGGGCAGAGGTACTGTCCTATCCCATCAGCAGGCCTCACCTTACTTTGCTGCCTGAGTCTGATCAAATCTGCTCCTTCTAGGAAGATCAGGATAACACAGCTGAGACTGGAAGCTCATCCCTCTCTGCAGACACACATTCCCAGCTACACAGAGCTCTGTGATCAGGGAGCTGATTCTGGGTACAACCATTCCTGCCCCACTGGGTTCTTGGTTAACTGCTGAGCTCTGATCACAGCAGAACAGCAGCACAGAACAGAGAAAAACATCTAGAAAAATGTGTGCTCTAAAACCAGAAGGAATTTACTTGTAAACATTCCTTACCGTCCACGGCTTGGAAGTGATGGGATGGAGCTGGATGTTTCCCTGCTTGTGGGCTCATTTTTCACTCTGCACAGTCATCTCAGGGTCCCAAGTGTGTTTGTAGATCATCTGCTGCTTGGCCTGGGGGACCAAGTGTCCTCCCCACCACCAGCTGCTGCCTGGGAAGCATCAGGCAGCCATTTTACAGCACAGGATCAGGGGTTAATCACATCCAGGCCGTGAGAGGTTTCACTTTGGCAGCAGCTCCAAGTGCCTGAGGACTGACGGTGGTAATGAGCAACATTTGCCATCTGGATTTAGGAAAGATCAAATAATGAAGGTGGGGAGGAAAGCCCCCACTCACACATTATCCCTGGGCTGCCCTGGAGCTCCCTGCTGCAGAGACACCACAACCCACGGGCCTGAGCAGTCCTGGCAGGGCTGTGGGAAGTGTGTAGCAAGGATGAGACCTGTAGGCAGCAGAGGGAAAGAATCCTTGCACCAGGGTCTAGGTGTGGCACATGGCTGGGCACAGTGAGCCCTGAAGGCTGGCTGTGCAGTTTAGGGGTTGTGTTTTCATGGCTTTTGCCATCCCTGTGCTTTCCTGCAGTGCCTGACATTCCAGACAACCATCATCATTGACCGGACAGACAAGGAGACCAAGAAGAAACAAAGAGAGCGGGAAGCCCTGGAGCTGAGGAGTGCTGTGAAGGTAAAGGGGAGCAAAGCTGAGGCACTGCTGCTCCAGCAGCAGCTGGGAGTTAATAATCTGTGCCCCAGGCTTTGTGCAGGCAGAAAACAGCCCAAGAAAGATGGCTGGTGTGCGGTGGCACAAGCAAAGGGCAAAGCCTGTTCCTTTTGCTGGGGCACACTGAGCCAGCAGCTGGCTGCAGGTTTGAGAAGGGAAATGAAAGGGGACAGCCAGTCTCCTGCAAATATCACTGCACATGTGATACAGGGAGGGTCACAGAGTAGTGCCCCTGCTTTTCCCTGGCCACCAGCAACAGGTGCCCTCAGCCCAGCTATGGACGCCTTTGGCACAACCAGCACAGGCCCAAAGGCTGCTGCATGGGCTGGGGGCTCCCTTCTATGGCTGGGGAGCACAGGAAAGACTCTCCAGGCATTGAGCTGTACCAGGTACCCCAGCAGTGATTTCCCCTCAGGCCTCTCTCTCCCTCACTTGCAGGTGCAGGCCTGGTGGAAAGGTACAATGGTCCGCAGATTCCTCGGCCCCTACCAGAAGCTTGAGAAGTATTTGAAGGGAATAGGAGAGAAGGAAACAGGCAAGGAAAAATCTGGAGCAAAGAAGAAAAAAGCTAAGTAAAGAAAGTCGCCACAGATGTGCTCCAGGACTGCTGCTGGGCAGGGCACTGTGGTATGTCTGACAGGACAAAATAAACCATGTAACAGAGCTTAGGCAATTTTGGAGAATGCAGTTCCTGCAGACACAGTTATGGTGAAGCTGCACTAAAGATCTTAAAGCTGCCCTTGTTCAGCCTTTTTTCCCCAGCAGAAAGGGGATTTGCATCACAACAGTGAGAAACACTACATCCCCTGCAAAGAGCTTTATGGAAACAAGACAGTGGGAGGCAATCTGTTACCAGCCCAGTAACTCAGCAGTGTGGGATGCTCTGCACCCAGAACCTCCTCTGCTGCCCCCAAAGCACTGGCTGCGGCTCTGGGTTAGGTGGGGAGGCTGAGGCAGCCCCAGCTGGGCTCTCTCTGTGCTCTCCATGCCTCCAGTGCTGGCATCAGGTCAGCAGGGAGAACATGGGCAAGCTGCAGTGTAAACACAAGTGCAGTCAGAGCATGCAGGTTTCCATTGCCACAGTCCTGCACAGTGTCAGTGCACAGACAGAACAGCTCCATGTACCTTCTGACCAAGGAGAAAACAAGGAGCTGTGGACATATGAGCAAAGGATTCTGTACAAAATCAGTCTCTGAGAAGGCTAAAAATACCTAAGAAAAACCTTCTGATGTGGCTGCAAAATATCTGTAAAAATACTGTGATTTTCCTGTCCTGGTTAACGATGAAAAATAGAAAATCAAAGCAGGTCCATCTAATGCGAACTGGGATGATGTGAAAGGGGAATAAACACCTGACACAGAGGATGGGACGTTTGTTGGTGCAACAGAAAAACAGCAAGAAGAAATACTGCAATTCATGTAAGTTTTAAAACTTTATTTAAAATACCCATGGTTTCCTTTTATATTACCAATGTGCTAGAAGTTCACACTACTGGCAGAATACAGGCGATTTAAAATATACAATATTCAGACACATTTATATGTAACAGAAATGATGGAATGTATTTACAGACATACAGCATGGGATGAAGCTTTAAAATCCTTTACTCTATTACTTACACGTTTACACTGTTTTCAGAAATAACAAAATTAGATCACTTTGTAGAACATCACAATATCTATACAAAAGAATTTTCTGATGTCCAAATTCACCTTACAAGTCCTCTGTTTCTAAAACAGTTTTTCAAAGAACCATTTATAGTCATAAAGGGGTAAGAATACCATTTGCCATCCTGCTGCTACCAAGAACAAGAGAGGTGCCCTGGTGCTGTGCAGAGTTGTCCCTGGTGGATTTAAGCAGGGGGCAGGGCCTTTACAAAAACCTTTCCTTCTAAGGGGAACCCCCAGCTGCTCTGCCCTGGCCCCCAGGGCCATCAGGGGCTCCTGAGTGCCTGGGCTGCTGCACCTGGAGTGTGTGACCTTGCAGAGCCTCAGGCAGTGCCCAGGGCTTGCCAGGTTTGAGGATGGAGTGTGGCACCATGGCGTCAGTGCAGGAACACCAGCAGCACAGAACACTGAGGTGGATCCCTCCCACATCCTCCAGCACAAATGCCCCAAAGAGGAAAGAGCATCTCTTCTTTGCTTTAACACACAGAATAGAACTTTATACATGTTTTCTTTCAAATACTCTTTTCATGGGCTACAACAAAAATTGCACATAACTACACTGAAAAATCCCAACCCATTTTGCAAGAGACAACTGAAGTGGGTTTGGTATAACACATTAAATAAACCGCATGATGAAACTTCAGGTTTGGATCTTTGTCCAAAAAGCATCTGGACAAGGTTTGGTGCTCGCCAGCCTGAAAACCTAAGATTACAAATGTCAAACTAACACAATTACCTACACTGAAACTCCAGAGTGAATGTTGCTCACAACAAAGTCCCTGGTGCCAGGGACCTTCTGCCTGCCTGGCCTCAGCCACAGGTGGCCATGAGCCACACATGGCAATAGGAAATGGCTCTTTCTTGCAGGCCACACTCAAGCCCCCACCCCAATAAAAACTACTGTTAATTAAATGACAAAATTTCCACCAACCTGAATACTGTTAAGTTTCACTTTCCTTAAGTGCTGGAGCAATCACCACACCCTTGCAGTTCATGAAGGGAATGGTTTTCTTCAGACAGGGGTATTTAAACAGCCCATGATGGGTGTGCTGGTAAATGCAACTGTCCCTGTAACAACAGGTGACCCAATGTTGGACACCAAGATGAATTCAGTGCCTCCCTCCCTCTCAAATTATGTGCAGAGACAAACACAGCAGGAACACTCTGACTGTGTCTGTGGTGCTGCCTGTGAGTGGCAGCATCTTCCTCCCAGCAAACTGCAGCAGACACTTCAGACACCTCTGTGTAACCCTGTGGGAATGACCAAGGTTCCTCACCAATGGCATCAAATGAAACACAAAAATCACTTAAGGGGGTGAGAATGCCTGTGTGGAGCTGCTCTTCCTGTGGGTACTGTGAGTTCCTGGCACCTCCATTCCCTGCAGGGCTCAGGGTGCTGCATTTGCCCAACATGAGGAGGTTTCTCTTTGCAGCTGGGCACTCTTGAACACCTCCCAGGTGTTCTTCACTTGAAATGTGACCAATGCCAGTAAGAAGCAACTGGAATAATTATGAGAAATAGGGGAGTCAGCAATCACCACAACAGCCCTTGAAAGAAATACATGAAGCAAAACAAAATGGAAACAAAACTGCAACTCAAAAGGGAAAATGCAGCTAAGACCAGTCCTTGGCACTCCCACAGCAGGTTCTACTTCTACAAAAATGACTTCTAGCTAATTTGTTTCCATTTCTTCTTCCTTTATCTGCATAAAATCCTCTCAGTGTATTCTGCTTCAAATATATCACAGACAGAATATGGCTGATGCCTGGAGTTGCTTTAAGACCATGTACCATGTATTAGTAGCATTATGTTCAGGGACAAAGGAACCACATAGGTGGAAACTGGATTGTCTGAGGCCTTCTGGGGGGGCAAGGGGGAAAAGAATTGTTAATTGGTCTGGTAGCGAGCTTGGCCTTGTCACTAGGACCAGAGCATAGAGACCTGTCTTTATTTTGCACATCAGCTTTCCAGGAAAATGCAAAATTTGTCAGCTGCCTCTCCCACTTCTGTACTGTGAATTTCCATTATTATGTTATGGAAAGAGGAATCAAGTAACAGCAGTTCTGTAAAACCAGCACATCTCTCTACATAAACTCCAACTAATAAAAGGCTTTATTGAAAGCTTTGTCTAACCCTTCAGGGCTGCCTTAGCACAGAGCTGCTCTGACAACAAGCCAGCCCACCTGGGGAACTTGAGAACTGTGCTCTTAACATGATCCATGCTGTGCCTGCAGGGGATGCTTCGGCCCCTCGTAATTGTGTTAGCTGGGAGACTTCTAATGACCAGCAGGGCAGGCTGGCACTGTTCCCACTGCAGGGAAATGCACGGGATTCTGGTGATCCCACAAAACCACCAGAAGGGGATGTGAGGACAGGGGAACCTCCCTCCACTGCTGTTGGAAAAGAGTTCAGATAAAGACATGTTAAAACCCAAACAGAAAGTGAACCCAGCAAGAATGCTGATGGGATTAATCCCATTTGAACAGATCTGACTTAGTATCTTTTACTAAGGTGTTTCTGGCAGAGAAAACATGCAGTAATTTTTCCACTGGGGAAAAATAAAGTGGTTTTTTTCTTCAACTTTTAGTGATGAGGACCTACCAAGCCAAGTGACAGCTGTGTGAAGTTCGACCCTGTTATCAAACACCGCAGATTAAGATTGTGTGATGCAATTTAAAAAATATTATAATAGAAATAGCCATTCTTTGGAGGCAAAGAAACTCAATTTCTTTGCACCCTGCGGATAAGGAAATAATTTAATTCCCTGTGTGCCCACTGCAGCAACACCCTTTTTTTTTTTTTTCTTTTTACAAATTCCCCTGGGAATTGCTTTCCAGACTCTAAACCCATTTCTTCATCCTGCAAGGTCCATTTCTACAGCTGGCTCCAACAGCCAGCCACTAGAATTCCCTGCCCTCCTCCCAATGAACTCTCATTTTTTAAATAAGGGGCAAAAATATTGGTAATAAAAATGTTCCTGGAAACTGTTGTGATCTCCAAAAAAAATGGAGAAATGAAGTAAAACATTCCTGTCAGGAATCACGGAAACTCATTTCCTTAGAACAGAGCTCTGTGTGTTTGGATGCACTGCATGGGCAGTAAAGTCTTCAGGTCCTTCTGCTTAGCCAAGGTAACCCAAAAGGTCCCGGAGGTCTCTACACAGCAGACAAGTGGTGCAGGGGCTGCTGCTTTGGGGGTGCCAGCTCCAGGAGCGCCTGCACAGTCACAGCTACCTGTGTCAAACCCTTCTCTTCTAAAATATGCAGAGGCAAACATAATTGCTCCTGAATGGGGAACAAAACAAAGACAAAAAACAAAATGGATGAAAACCACTCAACTGAAAAGAAAAAAAAAAATTAAGCAAAAAGTGACTGAAATATGAAATGTTATGGACAGGCAGCACACACACATAGGGGTAGGACATGAGATTTCTGCTTGTGACAAAGGAACCATGACCTTGACTACTCAAGAAAGGTGGCCTTGGGCTAATCTCTTGTGTTCTTTTAATAAAAAACTCTATAAATAAGAATTTGAAAAAGGATTGTGGGAGGAAAGGGGAATAGCAAATTGTCCTCCACCTCTGCCCACACTGAGATGGCAGCAGTTTATGAAACCAAAATAGATGGACTTGAGGAGGGGGTTGCTTCAATATGATCAATGTGCTACAACACAGCAGGAGAGGAACCACAGCTTCCTTCCCAAATCACCTTCTGGAGAGAGCCCTGCTGGGACAAGCCTGTTCAGCTACAGCCCTGAGGGAAGCCCTGCTGGGGAGCAGGGAATGAGCCACTGTCACTCACTCACCTCCCCAAAGTGCCCCCCAAAATCATCCTGAGGAGTAACAGTAACACACAACATGCAAAAAGAGGTTTCAAAGTGTTTATTAACAGTTGTGCTATTCTCAGTCTAAGATGTATTTAAAGCCTCATCCTACAGAAGTCCTTGGCACCTCCTTGCCATCCTCCCTCCACAACAGTCAGGATACATGTCCCACAGTTCTCTGTATCCGCAGAAAATAACCCAAGTGTGTCCTTCCTATACAGCTACAGAGACTATTTTTCATGTGTCATTTCCACATCAACTGGCATTTCTCCACTCCTTGAGTCTTTACTGATTTTTGAGGTTAAAGAAATCCTTCAGCACAAACAGTGACAGCCAACACTCCTCCCTCAAAGCTCCGAGCAGAGAGAGAAAACAAGTGAGCCCCGACTGCAATTCTCATAGAAAGCCATATGCTCAGGCTAAAATACATTTTTCTTCTAGCAAATGTATATTACTTTGAAAAAAGTGTGCTTTTTGAGAAAATACTTGTAAACTTGAGTAAATATGCCTTATCTTTTTTCTTATGTATGCAAACAGATAAGGGGGGAAAAGCTTTGGAATGACTCCATACCGCAGACAGTAATGACAAACAAAATTTAAAAACTGGAAGGCACTGTTAGTGTAAAACCCCTTGCAGCTTTTATCACAGTGTTCATTAGAGGTTAAAAAACACAGGAACTGAGTTCATTTTAGTTCATACCAGTAAGCAGTGCAAAAATAGCTTACTTAAAAGTAAAACAATCTCCCCCTGTCAAAAGTCCCTTCTTTACTCAGTGATATTTGGCTTGGACAGAACACTTTGTGTGACTTGGACAGAAGGCAGCAGCTCTTACTTGCTCCTTTGATAAAAACTCACTTCATGGTACAAGAGCTTGTGAGACCCACATACACATAACACATTTTTACTGGTAGTGATCACATTTGCAACTGAACTCCTGTGTACCTTAAACTGTGCTTCAGAGGTGTTCCAGGATATGGCTGGAATACCAACACCACTTGCACTGGGCTTCCAAGCCATTTACCGCACTTGCAGATATAACAAAATTTATTGAAGACAGATTTGGAACAGCCATTTCCTGAACACTTACCTGTGACTGGTGTCTGAGCAGAGCTCCCTGAATGGATCCCCACTCTGAGGAGACATGGTCTTTTACACACATGGGGAGTGCCCTCAAGTTCTGAGGTGTCCCTGAGACATTAAAGCATTAAAGCACCAGGGTGCTTTCCCTGGGGAGGGAAAGGCTGTGCAGCTTTATGGAAGACTACCTGAGTTTTGTAAAACAGTGAAGAGTGCTTGTGCAGCCAGGCCTTACGTTTGTGCAATTGCATGATACAAGTGTTTCTGAAAATGACAGGATAAGAGGAAGAAGGGAATAAGCATGGAACAAGCTTGGGTTGGAGTGCCCAAGATCAAGGGAAAATTCAACAAGTTTTTGGTCTTATCCAGATCACAGTAAAATGCTGCGACATCCTGTAGCACCTGACAGGATCATAAAGATTTTTCTTTCTCTGACAGAAAATTTTTCTCTTAAAGCTGTTGAAGAGCTTAATTTCTCTGAAATTGTTCTGCTTGAAACTGTTATAATGTTCAAGTAGCTCAGGATTCATTGACAGTTGTTTTGAAAATCGTGAATCAAAGTAATACAGCAGAGTCTATAAATTTGAGAAATCAAATGCTCTTAGAAGTAGGATAAAGGACTGGGGGCAAAAAAAACAAACCAGTTTGAAAGTTCTGTGGATGACACCAGACCATGTCTCCTTAGACTGTGAGATCACATCAAGAACATTGACATTGAAAAAAATACTTCACATTGTTTAACATTTTTCATCAGACAATCCTCAAGCAGGTTACCAAAGTGGTTGCATTTCCCATTACACAGATGGGGGAACAGAGGCACAAACTGACACTGCAGCTTTCACTACACCACTGGTCAGCAGACTCCAGCATGCACCACATGTCCTGCCCTCAGCCCTCGCTGGAGCCCAGGGACAGCAGCTCCTCCCTCCCTTGGAAGGCATTTCATCTGCTCAACGTGCCACAGCAAATACCAATGGGAATTGGGTCACGGACGGTGCCATGGGTGCACCAACGTGTTTGTACTTTGTACTTGTCACCTCTGTCCCCTCCGTGGGAAACAAAGCACTTCATACACACAGTCTTGGCAAAGCCCACAATCTGTTCCCAAGCACTGGAGTGATGGAGGGAGGAAGCAGCACCACTATCCTTCACTAGAGGAAGAAGACCCAGCGATAGAACATACAGAGCGTTAGCATTAGAGTACAGTAAAACACCACAAAGCCCCAGAGCTGAATGGAAAGGGACACAAGACTGGATTCTTCTGAATCTGTCCCCAGGGAAAGAAGAGTCTCAACTGTTCTTTTAACGCTGAGGTTTAGCTGGAGAATGTCAGAAGGGGAACAAAGATTGTCCTGTCCAGAGTGTGTGAGCAGGAAGGGAAAACAGACAGAAAAAAAAGGTCAGTCAGTTAGCCATAGCAACATCCACGAAGCAGTTATCAGACATCTCAGATACAACCTACACATTTGAGAAGCACATCACAGCTGGTTAATTCTCACACAGAAATCTGCAGGACTCCCATTGCAAAGAACTCAATGTCAGTGTTTAGTGCGCAGTGAGGTGCCTGTCACCTCTCCAGCTCCCACATGTAATTATTCCTTGTTAAAAACAGCAGTTTATACAAGCCTTAGTGAAACCCACTTTTCTCTGGAAGTGAAGAGGTTACAGGTATCTGAGATGCTGCTGGCATTGAGTACTCACCACAGTTCAGCCTCCACATGTAACTTAATGAAAACAGCAGGACAAGGAATAATTTATGTGTAACTGATGCCTGAATGCAGCATCCTGCAGAAATATCTATTACTAATTAGAGTTTAAGAGTTCTGTAAGTATTCCCATTGTGTGTCTCTCATCTCCCTTTCCCACAGGTAACTGCTAATAATCAGTGAAATCTAGATGCATGGATCAACCTGTTCAGCTGAGGGTTTCCTTTGATCCAAGGGCTTTAAAACCACCAAAGTCCTAAGGAAATTGCTGCTCTGCTGTGGTGCCTGTAATTAGCCCTTTCTGAAAGTAGCCTTCCCCTTAAAAGGCAAGTATTCCTCCATGGATCCATGCTTTCAGAAAGCCTATTATTTTTTTGTAATTAGAATGGAAATGAAATGAAAAACCTTCAAGTAACTTTTCAAGAAAAACATACCAGGCTGCCATGCCATTCTGGTACCATACAGGTATCTCATGTTCACAACTCAGCAGAACTATAATACAGAAATGTGAGAGCAGCTCTGGGTTCAAGGAGGGTATTTTACTAAGTTTTCCCAGGGAGAACTCCTTGAACTCTTTCACAATAAAACAAGATATATGAGAAAAACAGCAGGGCCCTACACAGCAGGGGTAGCAGATGGAGCAGCCTGGGTTTACAGGGGACCTTTTCTTGATTGGCCTTTGTGTTTGTTTGGTTTTGATTGTGGGTCATTCCAGTGATGTTCTTTGTACTGCAATCCCATAAAAACGACATCTTCATGCTTGAGGGAGCTATAAATAGGGAAGCTGGGATGGAATTGCACAATGCCCCAGATGAATTGATATTGTGCAGTTCTGCTGGGATTGAAAGTCCAAAGGTTTTTAGGGGACAAAGCAGTGCAGGATCTCCCAGCATTAAGGATCACTTACAACTCCCAAGCCCCTTCTAACACAATTCACCACTGAGCCATGTGAAACTGCCAGGCAGCTCAATAAATAAGTCATCCTAAAATCCCAGTGGCTCAAATGCCTGCAAGTGATCTGAAAACACCAGAAAATCCTGCATGACTGACTCAAGAACTGACTTTAGATGTAGCTGGAAATTGAGTCATGGGGTCTACTTCTCCCCCTCAGAATACAAAAGAAACCAGAACCTACAACAGAAACACCAATGCTCAGCAATGTAAAATCCCAAATCGATTAGTGCACTGGAAGGGAAATAAGGAAAAATTTATTAAAACTATTTGTATTGAGAGAGCTGCTGAATAAGACAAAGTGCAAAGGACAGGACAGCATAAAACAGGATAACTGGGACCAACAGGATAAGATGGACTATTTATTATGTGTCCACCTCCTAGATCTTACCAGTTTCAAAAGGGGGACAAGGAAGACAGACTTCTACCATTGGTACACAACAAAAGCAGGAACTATGCAAGACAGCTACCATCAGAGAAAGGCCAATAATTCTGTGACTTGATGGTAAGACAGTAAAGACATTTATGTAAGAGAATTATTGGGAAAGAACATGAAAAGCTTTGGGATTAAAAAAAAGACATGCAAACCATCATCCAGATTTTATCCCACTTTTAAGCAGTCACATACCTAATATTGAGAAAATGTAACTGGTTTTATAGAACCTGCCAGTTCTACAGGCAGACTCAAAGTCCATCAGCTATTAAGAATCTGATGTACAGTATTTAAGTGAATCTATACTGAAATATAAAATCTATATACTACACTCGGATAAACTGTACCTGGCTTCATTTTGCTCTGGAAGACCATGCAAGGTAAGTCTGATCTATACTGCTCCTGAACCTTTTAAACTTTTAATTATTTTGTTTTAATCCAATATTCCAAAAAAAGCTTTATTTTCTGAAGCACCAGGAAAAAATGCATCTAAAACATATCAGGACATCAGAAATACATACCTGAGGCACTCCAATCCTTCTGCAAGCTTCCAAGAAATTCTCCACGTTTCGTCTGCATTTTGCCATTGTAAGTTTAGGCTGCAAAAAAGCAAAGGCATACAGTGTTCTTAACTGGCAAGGTTTTAAAAGATTTTACATTTTATTTAAATAAAACTCTTAATAAATCTCTTTGCCAAAAACATTGCGCTGACATAAGCTCGTCTAATTCAAAGCAGGCTCTGCTGAAGTTTGCTTTTCTTAGAAAACCATCCCAGTTTTCAAAGCTGTTTTATGAAAAGCTAAGTTATGAATGCTGGATGATTTTTAAAAAAGGACAGCTCTAAGCCCTGCAATATTTATATACACATTGTTATATAAAACTGGCTAACACTTTTAGTGACTACGTTATAATCATTTTAAAAATGCCTTTTGATGAAATGCACATCCATGGCTTGCATGCTGTGATTTCAGAGCAATTTCATGACATAAAACAATCTAGTTTGTTTTGGATTACTATAATGCAAAACTATATAAATATCAAACCATACTTCAATTAAAAAAGAGGTAAAAAAATAAAGGCTAGAGGAAATAAAAAAATAATGCCAGAAAACTGGAAGTGAAGCTTGCTGCTTGTCAGTCTGTTGTAGATTTGTTTAATGGAGCTGTCTGAATTGCACTCACTGGCATTTTTTCAACTGAGGTTTTTTTCTGCAGTCAGTTTTCACACCTCTTCAGACATACCACAGCACAGGCTCTGTCTTGTTCCTGCTCTCAAAGCTTATTCTCTTCCGGTTCAAGAGACACAAGTTCCCTGCTCCTATGAACATGCTCTGGAGCAGCAGGCAGCAGCCTCCAGGTGTTCAACCCTTCTCTAAGTGATGGGGTTTCCTCTGTCCCCTTCCTGTGCTGTGTTTCCCACCAAGGAAGCAGGTTAAAGCCAGCACTGGCTTCTTTCTCCCAAAGGACCAAGTGAGCACAAAGATCACCCTGTGCCTGGGCATGACGTGATGCCTCTTCTGCTCCTGGAGCCACGAGACTCCAGGCTGCCTCTTCCTTGGGATTCACATGACAAAGCCACAATTTCATTCCTAACACAGAACATTCAGCTGCACATCAAACCAGGCCATTGAAAAGATCTCACTGATGCAAGTCTCCTGAGCAGAGGCTCCCTGCCTTTGCTTAGAATGATCCCACAATGTGCTTGAAGTGTTGGTGTGTCCAGCTCAGTCGTTCTCAAAATAACAGGGCCAACTGCCTGGTCACATTGAGTCTCAGGGACACAATGACACACTTGGCAGCCCTGGAAGGGCCAGTTCAGATTCCAATCAACATGAAGACTCACTCCAAAAGAAGGATAAGTGAAGACTATGTGCATGTTTCAACTTCTTCCCCAAGGAACAATCTCTGTTTTTTTTTTCCTTATACGTACAATTTTAAAGGTGCACAACAAGCAATCTGCCTGTCCATATTACTTTCAAGTAGCTGATCCTAAATATTTTCACTGAACTTCCTGACTTCCACAAACACAAACTGGATAAATAATCTGTTGGTATCTCACAGATTTTGACCTTTCTCTAATTCTGTGCTTTCCCTACCAAACAGACTGCAATACTTCCCTGCTCTCAACAGTCCCCTGACAAAGCCACTGTTTTTCCTGTTATCACAAAGGTATGACAGGATTCGTTTTGTTCCAGGAGATGCCGTTCTCCAAGTCACCTGAGTGTGTTCTGCTAAAATTCCTAAGCAGAGGAATTTGTAGTGCTGTGGACACAGGAATCAACTTAGTCTCTGCCTGGTTTCACTGTCTTGTGTAGTGGGATCCTACTTGTTGTTATGTTTTCCTGAACTTCTCAGTCATTTTGATCTTTTAAAATATCCTATTTTAGTTTTCATGCCCAATTGTCTCATATTTCACTAATTTTGAAGTTAATGTGCCTAGGGAGCACATGAAAATGTTAGCATTTGCTTACAGTAATTTCCTTTAAATGAAACAAACCCAAACAGAATTTCATTTAGTGACACTGCAGACCTTTTTTAAACAGCACAGATGGTTACTTTTTGTCGTGTACCTTCACTGAGGAGAATGCTGACTTTAGTGCCTGTCTGAATGACAGGGCTTTGCAGGCTATCCCTGTGGGCAGCCATAAAGCAGAGTCACTGCTGCACACTTACAACTGCAGGCGAGGGCACGTGGATGCTGGGGACGGAGCGGGGCCGCACGTGGTTGGCCAAGTGGCACAGGACGACGCCGTCGGTGAGAGCCGCGCCGAGGTCGCTGGGCAGGGACACCTTCAGCCGCGACTCGATGTTCTGTGGGACACCAACAGGGACACACAGGGGCTCAGAGCCCTGCAGGGAACTCTGCATAGTTCCTGCATCACAACTCTGTCTGTCCTCATGGCATTGCCAATCAGCTTGCTGAATAACCCCAAGGAAAGCCTGTGCATTACTGTGGCCAGGGCTGGCCACGGTCTGGGAGCAACTGAGTTCAAGGAAGAACAGCTTTCATTGTACAGCACAGTGGACTAATGCAACCATTATTCAAAAATAATGGAAATCAGGCTCTAGGAACAGTATTTTTAACCATACATATTCTCAGAGAATGGTTTTGCCAAAGGAAGTGAAAATAATTGTCTTTGTGGGCTGGAGGACAACACAATTAACAAAAGTCAAGACAATATTTTTGCCTTTAAAATAAAAACTGAACTATTTGGCATAAGCAGTCCTTTAAAAAGAAGATAGCATTTGTTTAAGAGAATGAGTAAGAATTCAATTTAGGCTTTCAAACTCATTTAAAATGCTGTGTGAATACCACCAACTTGTAATACTGTAAAAAATTTAAGTATTAAAAAAAAATATTAAGCTTACCTGCAGAGCAGAACAAGAGACAGACTACAGAGAAAGCAATCTGAGATAACGTAAGAGAGGGTCTGCAAACACCACCAAGTTTTATCTAAGGTAGTTACCTTTCTCCTTTAGAGAAAGGAGACTGTCTTTACTTCAAATCTTCCCCCCAAAGAGAAATTTTTTTCTATCTGGAATGCTTATGGCTTTTAAGATTAGTTTCAGCAAATATATTCTTATTTATTGGGAAAATTTAACAATTAATTACAGCACCACAAGAAATCCCTTCATGATCTGCAGAAACAAGTCTGGGGCAAAGCAGGGCAGTACCTTAATGCCATGTGGCATTGCCAATATCCCTGTTTATTGTCATTGCACCTGGGCACACACCAGGAGTGTGGTGCCCCTGGGCAGACAAAAAGCATAAATATTAGAAACATTAGTGGCTCAAGTGTTCTGCACTTAACTAAGGATAAGGCAAGAATCAACAGACAGATCTAGAGCACATGAGGAAACCATGATGGCAGCACGACTGGCAGCAGTCTCTGCACTCCATCTGCTCATCTGTCAGCTTTATAGCAAAAAGAATTTTAAAAAAGACATTAAAAGGAGACAGTAAAGGCAACTTTCCAGGGAGCTCCTTACAAGTGTGAAAGCTGATAAGGAAGAAAGGAAACACACATAAAAGCAGAGTTCACCAGACATTTAAGAGAAGACCTGACATAATTTATTATACAGAATTTGAAGCTGACTCTACCTACCACAAACAACCAAGTGAACACCACCGCACCCATCTGAAAGAAGTGCACAGACTGTACCACACCATTTCATTTTGTTCAACTGTGCCCCATACTGGTTCAGTGAAACTTGTCCATAAGACAAAGGCAGATTTAGCAGGGTCACAAAGTGCATTTCCTGCTTTGTTCACATTCTGGCTCCTGGCAGCACTGACCTTGCGTAGCTGCTCTATCAGCTCCAGCTCCTCCTCGCGCTGCTTGGAGTTCTGTCTCACTCGAGGGTCTGCAGAATCATTAGCAGGAGACAAGGCACAGGTAGAGGATGAAGCAACAGCTAAAACAGTAGCATGAAGGAAAGAAAATCACTAAGCACAGTTTGGCTTTGTGTTGTTTGCTACTGCACTGCACACAAAGTTCCAGAATGGGTACGTTACATTCCTTTTCACAAATCTCCTTCTTACCTTTCATTATTAATCAATTAATGGTCTACCAACCTAAATGAGGGATGTCAACACATGATGATGTCAACACAATTCCCTCACTGTTTAGATTCTGATCTTTCTGTTGGATTGTAAGTCATGCACAAATGACAACAAAGTTCTGCCACATGCAGTTTGTTGAAATGGTTCCTGTCTTTCTCCAGAAATTGCAATTCTGTTACAGGCTACTGGGCAATGCAAGAATTATCAAGTTGTAGAAGGCTTGTGTGGCAAAGGTGTAAGTGCAGACCAGGATGAGCAAATTCTCACACTTGTACAGGTATGACAAAAGAATATTGGGCAGCTCCAAATAAAACCCTGTTTGTTCACAGCATATCTGATGTCATCTGTCTACAAATGGAATTCTAGAAGTAGTTTGATGATAAAGACCTGGGGTAACAAAACACTGCAAGCCCCAGGTAATGCAGATGTCAATATAATGTAGCAAAACTAGCTGATTTCTGAGCTATATAACCTACCTTTCTTGGCTCCATCCCTGACAGCTGTTCGGAAAAGGAAACTCTCGGGTCGCTGGGAAGGATTTCTATAGGAAGGCGGGGCTGCATGGCCAGGATATGGAGGGGAAAGGTGGACTAAACAAATGTGGAAAGGCACAGGAAAGGAAGGAGGAAGAAGGAAATGGTTAAATAGGAAATGGGTACAGCAATGTGGTAATTAAAAGAACAAACCAAAAATTTTAATGTAATGATGACAAAATAAATTACAGCCATGCATGATAAAAGCAGAGCAGGAAAAGGCACTTCCAAGGACACTTGCATGCAAAGCACATTCCACATACCAATTCCAACAACTGTTCTCACTCTTGCTGAATGCATCTGTGTGCCAAAGTCTCTATGAAGGCCTAAACCAGCCAAACTCTGTGCTCTGCCTAAGGACATTCTTCATCCCTTTAGTCTCTTCCCTTGTGTTTTTCTAAGGAGACCCAAGTAACTGGGTAAATTCTCACACAGAGCAGTGCCACAGACAGAGGTGGGAACAGATGTTCCCCTTTCTTCATAGGACAAATAAGCAAGCAGGCATTTTGACCTTATTTTTCAGAATCTTTTTCCTGTCCCTGTTACCTGTCTGAGCAGTAGGTGAGCCAGGGGAGATGGTAGATCTGTCATCACTCTGTGAACAAAAAAGCAGAAGAGTATGAGTGGTCCTAATCTGGAGAAGCTTTGATTACATTTTAATTTGCTCTGTTTTAAGAAAAGCTCCATCCATCTAAGTGTGTTTCAGAAAAATAACCAGAAATAAGAAAAACCACTGTATGTTGTTTCCCAAGTATTATCTTTGCAAAGACAAAGCTTTTTTCTTTTACAGAAATGATACAACTGCTCTTTTTCCTTAGGAAAAGCAATGATGAAACAGCCCTGACTGTGCAATGACAGATCATTGTTAACTTTTCCTTCCAACTCAAACTGAGAAGTGCTCCTTGCAAAGGGGACAGCAAAAAACAGGAATTAAGCAACATGCAGAATTGGCAATACAGCACTCCTGACAAGGGCACTCCTCTTTGACACCCTGCTAATGCAATACTGCTATTTACTGAACATCTGTCCCCAGTGAAACACACTGTGGTTTCATCACAGTGCTTACACAGACTAATGAATTCTTGTGAGGAATGAATTCAGCACAGCAGTTTCCACAGAAAAGAAAGAAACCTGCAAAGAATACAAGTGTACTTTTGATGAACTCAACTTGATCAAGAGTAAATGATCTTGTACAGAAAAAGCAACATCAAAGACAACTAAGAACCCCTTGGAGCAGAGATTGGTTACCATGTTTTATGGATCACGCCTCCTGTAGACACAGCCTAAAGCTAAGATGAGGTAATACACACTACAGTTTAATCAGGGGAATCAGGTTCATTCCCTACCTGAACTTTTGATTAGATGCTGACAGACTAACACCTGTTTAAACCGATGTCTGGATCCAAGATTTTTTTGTTGGCTCTAGTGGTGAATGATAATAGCAAGAGATACCTTGACAGGACTGAAGGTAGAGGCACTAGGCAGGGTAGTAGCACAGCTCTCTTGGTTCAACCCTGAGAGTGACTGAATGCAGAAAGAAAGAGAAGGCAGTAGCAGAATTAGTGAGCAGCTGACAGGTACACAAAGGTGGAAGTAAAAATGAAGAGGTGATCACAATCACATTCTTAGAAACACTCAACAAGCAGCACACCAATACTTGCTGAATTATACTTAAAGCCTTCCTATCCTCCTGAACTTTCTGGGAGGTATAGTGCTTCTTTTACATATAATATGGTGACATTAAAAACAGAATTAAGAACAGTGAGTGAGGCAAAAGCTTCTTTAGTAACACCTATGCCATCAGAAAAAAAGAAATTTTACCCTACAATGGTCCATTCTAGGCAATCATTAAAACTAAATAGGTTCCTCTTTAGTGTTTTGAGGATGTTATGCATGTCTGAAAAATGAGGGAAACCCATGTACAAGAGGCTCAGTAATACACACTTTGTATCTGCCACAAACACTAACAACTGGTCCTTGTGATTACCCACGAAGCAGATGAGGTTCTGTGGGTAGAATCTCACTCTTGGGGAAGATGTCAGTGTCAGGATTTACAGTGTTGCCATAAATAAAGTGCAGTCATGTTTCAATTATGACCAGTATCAAACCCAGCCAAATAAATAACTTTTCCTGTTTAAAGAACAGGGGCTGTTGTTGTGCCCATCTGTCACTGACAGGCAGATCTAGGAGGTGAAATTCTGTGTCTCACTGAAAGCACCATCAGAACTTCAACATTTGAGGATTGAATGGCCCACTATGCCTTCTGAAACAGCATTCAAATAGCAAAGTGACAGTTCAGCACAGGAAAGAACATCAAATGACACATAGAAACTCTACAGGTAGTGAAAGACACATTTGGGAGTTAGTTCTTAAAACATTTGCAACTTTTCTGCCACTTCAGACCAGCACAGCCAGAAGGACTAGAAGGGAAGGTTTACACTCAGGGCCAGCCTTAAATACAAATGTTTTTAGGCCCTGTACAGACTTACAGCTGGTCCTCAGGATTGCCTCTTTGTCCAGAGCAGGGCAGAGCCAAAATGGTGGTTTTTTGTTTTTTTTTTTTAAGAGTTTCAAGTATCACTTGTCTTAGACAACACATTATCTAGCACATGAGAACATTAAAATAAACCAGAACTAGGCGCTCTGTACCATCAAGGTATCTGCTTATTCCTGTGTGAACAGAGCAGGGCAAGCTTGACACAGATTAAGAAGAAGGGGTCACCATGCACACAGCCAGCAGTGGGCACAGGGAAGGGGACACAGCACAGCACAGGAGGGACAATCACAACACCAACACACCGCATGCTCTTCACCTGTTTGCGAGTGCTTGGCCTCCTTTTAATGGTATTGGTGTTATTGTCAATCTCAAACACAAAGAGAGGCTCAAAGCCATTCTGTCAGGGACAGTGAGGAAAGAAAGAGAGGGAAGAAAGGAAGAAGTGATGCAAAGAATGACTGTGAGAAAAGGCAGCCACAACACTAAAGGAGTCAGGAGGCTGCAGCTCAGACTTACACCACCCTCTGCACATGCTGCACGCAGTCTTTAGGCCTAGCACTGAAGTCACAAAAATTTCCCTGTGCCAGAAACAACTGCAGATACAGGGAGCGCCAAAGGAGAGCCCAACCAGAACTCTGCATGAACCAAATAAGGATATTTTAAGAGAATTTGGTTATTCAACATTTGAATACACAAATGAATGCAAAGGTCTGAGAGAAAACTCCAGGGTACAAGTCTGCATAAGTCAAGTCCTGCTTATTTTACCCATAACCATTATTTGTAACACTCTGGTGCTTAACTTAAATGCAGTTTTAACTTCAGATGTTTCAGAGATCCTGTGTGCTAACAGTAATATGACAGACTCAGGCCACATTTGAGACCACAACAAGAAAACAACACAAGGAAGGGAGCATAAGGCAGCAATGACACAAAGGTTGTGAGAGGATGAGGTCACAGCAGCTGCCTGATGCTTCTCAAGCACCTTGTGGGCTTCACAACAGAGAAACTGAGCAGCAGTTTGAGAGGTTGTTTTGGGGTTTTCTCCCCCTTTAACAGCAGCAACATTGTAAGGGACAGTGTAGGAGAAAACAAAAAACTATTTGGAGAAAAATGAGATTTAGAAGCAATGAAGGCTGAAACCAAGTCATTAGCTAAGTCTGAAAGCTTAACACCAGCCCTAAAAGTAATATCCATTGTAACAAATGGAACTATCCTTGTGAGAACAGCAAGAGGTTCTGACTAACATAAAACTTTTATTTTTTCAGAGAGGCCAGTGATTACACTTCTTCAACAACATTTTAGTCAGGTTATCCATCACAGGTCAACACAAAGAAATCCACCACAGTGTGCAATGAAGTTCTACAGCCAGATTCCACTTCAAATCACAGGTATGCAGGAGGAACCACAACCAAAGGGAATCATTAACATCCACACAAGGTATGGGCAATCATTCTGGGACTTCAAACCAACTGTCCTGACATTGTTTATAAACAGAAGGAAATGGTCAGAGTAACCTGTGCAACATGAATACATTTTAATTTTAATTAGTGATTAAAGACAACAAAAAGATGACCAAAAGAAATACCAAATATTTTAAAAAGGAGATTCACAACTGTAATTTTTTGTTAAAGCAGTAACAATGCCAGAAGAGTAAAGCAGTAAAATAAAAGCTCTGCTTTTAATTGCTTTTTACTTGTTTTCTAGCTACGTATTAGATTTAGTACTTTTAAAAGCTTTTTCTTATGGCCTCAGAAATTAGACCTAGCTAAAATTCAAACACATAAGGACAGGGGAAATGTCAAATGAAACACAACAGAATATAAAAAGGTAAAAACAATGTAAACTCTAATAATTTCTTGAAGCAATCTGATGACCATTTTCTTGATGTTTTTACCTTTACACAAAAGATGGAACAAATTCATGAGCCAGTATGGGCCTAAAGTTTCAGTTACAGTAATTGCCAGAAACAGCTGCCCTGGCATATGTGATCATCAGGCACAGTGTGGATTTCCACCACAGAAGACAGCTACAGATCACAAACCTCTGCATTTTATATACTATTATAATTTAGTGCTGCTGAAAAATATGAGGAACCAAATGAAAAATGAAGGGAGAAATTATTGCTTTCAATCCTTCCCTGCCAGCCTGGTCACTCTTTTTGTGAAGTAAAAGGATGTAACTTGGTTAAAGACAAGAAAGGAAACAAACAGCAATGGTAGCCAGTTTCAATGTAGTTTCTGAAAATTCTGTATCTTAATTTACAACAAAGGTCATGTGATCACAGAATCAAATAGAAATGGGGTTCCTAGAGGCACCTTCAAGTATGTTCCAAAGACAATTCGCTGACAACAAAGAATCATCCCAATCCAAACTACTGCTGTTCTACTGCTTTTTATGACCTAACTATGGAAGCACATTTTAATATGCTCATTGATACTGATTTCTCTAAACAGCCACATGATTATTAAATTTCTCTCTAACATTTTAAGCTTTCTTTCTCACCCATAAAGTGATAGTCTTACAAAAGCAGAAAATCCAAAAAGTCTGAATAAAGACACAGTAAATACCTTGACCAACACATTCAGGAGAGAGACACTCTAACCAAGAGCACTGCCTAAAGAAAATTTAGGCAGATAATGGGAGCACATAAATCAAGAAAATAAAGTCTAGGCATGCAGTCATGCAACAGCAGGCAAATCAGGTGTATTTTTAATTTTCTAGACATGGATTATGACATTTATTAGATTTTTTAGTTATGCTACATTGCTAAGATGCCACAAAGGAAGAAATAGCATAAAACATGAAATATGTGCACACTTGTTTTTATTTTTGATAAGTGTTCAAAATAGATTATTTTTAAGACATTTGCCCTAATAAACAATAAAACTGTATGAGGAGTATTTAATGATTTATAGCATTCATAAGTAGAACAGTTTTTTCTTGTGCCAAGTATTTCTAAACCCCATGTGCAGGACACAGACAAGTTAAAGCAGAAGGCAGAACCAAGCATTAAAACTGCTTCCTTGCCACTGAAGAGCACATCAATTAGGAAGCAAGCTGAATGGCAAAGATATAAAATCAGAACAACTAGAGATGAATTCTTCATTTTAGAAACTGTTCTTTACTATCAGTAATTGTCTTCTGCTCTCAAACAAAATATAAACTTTAATTATTTTGTGGAAAAACATCATTGTATTATTAGCAAATGTCCGACAGCTAAAGTGTCAACATGTTCATAACATCATAGTTCACAGCTAAGCTACTTTTCAAAGGAGGTGGTCATGTTTTATGCTATTTAGATTAGCTCTAAAAGAGTTGGTCTAATCTGAGACAATCATTACATGTTGTCATTTCTATGCTCTAGAATCTGCCACAGAAAAAGGCCATGACGTGCAGGATCTTACCACTAACAAGGCACTATCATCAGTATGCTGAGACCTTCTGGATGGAAAGGGACACTGGGAGGTGGGAGAGATGGAGCAATGTCAGAAACACACACAATGTCAGAAACACATGGTATGTGAACAGACAGACATTTTGGAACATGTACTGCTTGCTTGTAGCACTGTGAGGCTCTTTAAAACAATCCCTGAAGTGTCTGTAACTCTGTAGGAATACACAGCCTCATGACCCAGGATCTACAGAGCAGTCACATTACTTAAGGAATCAATTATTCTGCTTTCTGTGTTGTGTCCAGCAAATACAGAACACTATGCATTCACAGTGCTGACTCTGGTAGAACAAAGGACCTTTTAAAAGAATAAATTAAGAACAGAAAAACATTAAGAAGAAAAAGGAGCAAAAAACTATTTCAATTACCCCACGTTTTGCTAATTTTCTAACAAAAAGAGCTGCAAAACACTGCTAAAGAACTGTTATATTTGTTATAATATTAAAAGTTTTGATCTAATTAACATTAAGTGAATTTATAATCAAAATCACGACATGATTTTGATTATAAATACTACATTATTGTAAAACTATAGTAGAAAAAAGCTTATAAAAATATTTATTCCTTTTTCTGACAATCCTCAAAATTCTAATGCTTAATATTTCTGGGACAACTGGTGATCTAATAAAAGGAAACTGGGAGAAAACTGATTTGTGAAGGATGACTGTAACACTGTAACTTGACTGAACACTCCTGTTAGAATATAAACTGCACTGCTCACAAGGAGCAGGTTAGAATAGAATATGAAATATATTTTCTGCAGAGAACATAGGAAAACATACAAAAAATAATAAAGCAACACACTTGGACAGGCAATCTGAACAGAAGAAAATTCTAGGCTGAGCCCATTAAGAAAACCCCAACCCAAGGCTTAATAGTATGTGAAAAAACTATGCTATAACCCAATTTTGAGGTATTTTCCACAATAAGGATAACTCTGATGGAGAGCTAGGAATTTAAGTGCTGACATCCATACTAATGCTCTTACTGGACTCTTACCTCACTATCCATTGGACTTTGTTTCTGAGGACTTAAGGAGGCTTTATGCTACACAGAAAAAGAAAAAACAAAACTTAAAATAATGTCACAGAGAAATAAAAGCTCACAAGCAAGCAGCATAACTTAAAAGTGTTTGAAAACAGAGGTCTCAGTTTTTTTAAATAGAATGTGCACTGGGTTCACTGAGCTGAAACTTCCCCAATATTAGTAAAAAATCAGCCTTTATTTCACATTCAAACAAACAAAAATTTAAAATTATGCATATGAAAGATGCACAATAAACCCAAAATATAACTCATGTGAGGAATTTAACTGCTGAGAATAAAGTGGTCATGAACAAAGGAAATAGAAGAAAAATACCCAAAAGTCAAACCCAAACCAGAAACCCCAGGAGACTCATCAATGAACAACATGCATCCTATAAGCTTAATATTTAACTAATACACTGAGCTGAATCTTTAATAAGCAGCTTTACTACAAAATAGTGCCAGAGGCCTAAGAAGAGTTGTTGCTAATGAAAAGCCTAGTTTTAGGCAGCTAAGACCTTTTTCTAGACTAACTTTATACATTAAATATAAGCAATAAACCATGCTTTGCCTCTCTGCAGACCACTCTAAACACAAAATAAATATTAACTGTCATATTTCTTAAATTTGTGATGGTAAGTGTCAAGTAAGTGACCAGAGCAGCAAACAGTAAACCAAATTTAAACCAACTATCATATAAAAAAACTGGCATGCTAAACAGAAGACATGAGTGCAGAGATAGAGACAGTGAAGACACAGTGCTCAGAGCGAGTGCCTGATGTACCACAGGTCTGCACCCACGCTTTGCCCAGAACAAACTAATTTTATTATCACAAAACAGCAAAATAGATCCGGCAGCATTAAATTTTTGTGTGTATGATTATTTCCTCCCTGCCAAATTTGTCTTCAAAATTAAACTGCCTCTATGCCTTCTCAGAGAAAGGCCTCTTCTTTCTTAAACCAATGCCATCACATCTATGCAAATGAAAATTGCAAGTATGAGGTGAAATATGCAAAAATCAGAATTCTTTGCAACAATCACATTTTGGGTAAATCTTCCATCTTCCTCCTCAGTTCTAGCTGTGCCTGTATTAAGCTACAGCACCAACACTTAATGGACTTAAATGGTATTTGTCCAAATTCTTTATGAAGTGCCAGGAGTATAACATACAAGCAGTAATTATCAAGGCAATTAGTTATAATTAAGGGATTCAGAGAAGATAAAATATGAAGTAGGTACTGAAAGGAGGCACCTTAACAAAGTCAAGGACAGCTTCTCTCTGGATCTGCTTGGTTCTCATCCTCTCCTCCTCGTACTGCAGGGCTGCCAGCTGCGCCTCGCGGCGCGTGCGCTCGATGTGCCGGCGCTGCAGCTCCGCGTCCGCGCTGGGCACCTGCAACCAAACAGGCACCAGGGGCTGTGAGGCTGCAGATGGGCTGTGGAGAAACTGCCCACGTCTAATGGGGAACAGCACTTTGGTTTCACATCAAACCCATTCAAAACTAATGGAATTCTATGTGTTACCTGGGTGTGGTGACTTGATAGCGAGAGAAAATAAGGTGAATCAGGCAGGGGTCTGACAAATGCAAAAACAGAGAGTAAGTAGACTTTTAATCTTAAATCCAAAAATTCTGCATACATGAATTGTCAGCAACACACAAGTAGCTGATGAAATCAGAAGAGTAACTGTCTACTAACAGCTGTGATGATGATTTAACACTGTGAATGACAGATTTTGTGAGTAATTTCTATTTTTTCTCCTAAATTGCAATAACATTTTTTTACAGCACAAGATGTACCAGTGGGGTTGTACACTTGGCCTACTACATTGACATACTCAGTACTTTATACCCATTCTCTAAGAGTAACCAAACCAGGAATTCTTCACATGATCCTCATTTAGAGGTACAACTGCATAGTATGGTTATTTGAGGGAGGGGAAAATAATAAAATGAATCAGCAGAAACACTCAATTTCTTTTTCCCTACCTCTCTGTCCTGTCCACATAACTCCTTAGTATTTGATGCTCTCTGTCTTGCATCAAATTTAGAGTTTCAGGTCTTCGTAATTCATCTGTATCCCTGCAGGTAAGACACCAGGTGGAAGGGGATTTGGCCACTGATGCATATAGACTACTGTCAGATTAATTCTACTCTAGATTACAACTGGTTTTGTGAGAGAAATGCCAAAATAATTAGCTTCAGATAATCAGAAAAGTGACATTTGGACTACAGAAATCACATTGTGATACCAAGTCAGATCACAACTGCAGTTTGTAATTAAACACAACTTGCTGAATTAACAATGATTTTAAAATACACAAAGATGGATTCTCTCTTTTAAGACGATATTTGGGTTATTACAGGCCTTATTCTGCTCTGGAAAGAGCAGAATTATTTTAAACATCAGGACCCCTGGGTATTTTCAGCACTAATCTGCTCACCTCACCAGTCAGGTGACTGCCAGTGCCACAAGCCCTCAAAGCCACAAGGTAAACAAGAACCCATCTGGCTCTTATCCATCATATCAACAATAAGAGAGAAATTCTGCAGTCAGTTCTTTGCCAGAAGGCAGCTGTTAGCACTGAAACAATTCCCAAGGTCCAAAGCCCACAGCATGTACCCTGACATGTTGCTGCCTGGAAACAAAGTTGATGGAAATCAAGGAGCTTCCTCCTGACAGCCTAAACTCTGCGACCTCGGCTCCTGGGACAGCCATGGAACACAGACACACTTCACCATGCATTTCCAAAAAATGTCAGTCCAGCTGGCTGTGTGCACACTTAGGGCCTTTTCCTCATGGAGATGAGATGTGGAAGACCCAGATGTTACAGGTCTCTTCTGTTACTTAAATTAGCACTGAAGCACATGACAAAGCCATTACTTAGAGCTGTTTTGAACAGACAGGACTGGGTTCAGCTCAGTGCCAAGGAGTGTGTTCAGAGCAGAGTACACACAGCTTTGGTGCATCAGGAATGCACCACAGTCTGTCCAGAGGCATAAACTGTATTTATTTAATTGAATCAACTAATATAAGTACTCTTGAGATGAAGTCTGTGTTACATCCAACTTTCAGTTTTAATGGCTCCAGCATGCTAAAGAAAAAAAAAAGAAGAGGCTGGCTGCCAAGGCATTTGCACAGAATTACTGTGGAAGCACTTTACAGCTTGTGGTTGCCACAAAATAAAATATTTGACTAATACAAGCTTAAAATACAAAAAATTACTCATTGTCATATGGCTGTTTTTACACAATTTTGAAGGCAGTAACAACATGATCTGGTTTTAGTGCCTTTATAATTTCACTCTGCTGCTGCATAGGAAGCTACAATTCATTCAGATTGCTGATTAACTACTTCAGCATGGAGATCTCCTGCTATCCTCAAGTTAAGTTTTGAAATCACTGGATAGCTTACTGAGCTCCAACTTCCTTTATCATTAACATCTGTCTATGTAAACAGCAGCTCTCCCCAGCTAACCAGCCTTCTCCAATTTCCTTCAGATTTATCATGGAAACCAGGGTTTGCAAGGTTTAATTATTTCCATGTTGACCACAAACGTTCAAATAAAAAAAAAAGAAGTAAACAAACAAGCAAAAAGTCAATTTTTAAAACCAAGAGCACTCTTTTTTTGGGGGAGAGCATGGCAGAATTGCTGTATCACTTTACACCTGACCTGTGCACAGGATAAGGACTGCTGATATATGCTGAAATAGCTACCCTCCCTTGTATCAGTACAGCTACTGTATCTGCACATTTTCTGCACATTTCAGAATGCCTATTAAAATGTTGCCAAAACTCTGGAAAAATTTATACACTAATCTTGGTTTCATTTGCTCTTTCAATACCATTTCAGAATCCATTAAAAACTGGTTTCTACTGACAGTATAAGCAATGACCTGCTTAGGACTAGGAGTTGTCGTTTCCACCACTCCCCCACCCCCCAAACATTCCAAGTACAACTGGGCTGGTTTTCTGTGGAGTCCCTGCAAATTCACTTTCAGTCCACAGAATACTGAAATGCTTCAATAGTATAAGAAAGGTTCTATCAATTTTCATTTGCAAGAATTGTTTTTTATCATTTATTTGCTTATCTTATTTTTTTTAACTAGACATCCAAAATTCTTTTCAGAAACCTAACCATCCCTCATTGATACTCTGTCCAATTCTGACCTTTATATAACAGATAAGCATTCTCTCCAATAATCATTAAAGTAATCAATTAAGAGTAATCATTAAAGAGCATGGGCATACTTCATCAAAATAAACAACTTGTTTTCAGAATTGATTCCCATTCCATCCCTTCTGCTGATGTAGGGTCATGATTATGGTCCAGAAAGGTACTTTTTAAAATAAATTAATCTTCCACAACACCAAAACCAGCAGGAGACAACCAAGAATGTGTCCTCATGGCACATCAGATACTCCATAGTATCTCTGTCCTTCCTGCAAGTACCTTTATCCCTTTTGTCCTCTTTGCACTACAGCTTAAATCAACTATTCAATCAAAGCACAAATTAAATCACAAAAATCAGATATTAAATCAGTTTAAAAATATCCACTTTAATTATGCAGATTTCTTTAACCAACTGATTTTAAGTCAAGTATTGGCAGAGAACAGCTATGCCTTTTGCTCACTGCCATTATTAGAATTCCAATTCCTAATTTGGAGCAATAACTTATCAAAAAAGTGTCATACACACTTCTGACAAAGCAACAGGAAACAATGCCACTTTCTAAACATGTTCAGTAAATACATGCTCTGCATTCATAACGAAATTCTGGATAAAATTATTGTTGCCACAGTAATTCTTACCTGTTTTGATGTAAATGTCGTCTTGAATCCTCTGTTCTCTGAAAGTCTCTGATGGATCCAGGCTTTACTGGTGAGCTCTAAGCAAAAAACCACAAAAGACTAAGCTAGCAATTTATTCAGAAAACTGTACATTAATGCCAAACAATCTCTCTGTAGAGCTACATCTGTAACTACTGGTATTTAAAACATCTGACAGCAAAGCACAAAACACAAGTCAGGGATGTTCATTTCCAACGAAGCAAGCTCACTCTTATTTTTTTTTCTCCAATTTAAATAAATAAATAATAGTTTCAAGATTAAATATGCATGCTGGTAACTTTAGGAGTTTAAAACCTCCAGTATTAAGAATCGTGCAGAGAAGTTCATGTAGGTATGAAATTTGTATTGAAATGGAAATACATTCTTTGGAGTTTAGCTCTACAAGTGCAGAGTAGTGAAGATTGGATTTTCAGAAATACAGAATAAAGAAGCTGATGGTTCTTTATGACATTCTAAAGACAGGTCCCAGAAAGACTAAGAAAGCAAAACATGGGATTAATAAGAAGATTCTCAGTTTAATTTGAGCAATGAAATAATTTATCCTATTGGGAACAGGGACATATTGCCTTTGGTGTTACTTAAAAACTTCCACTGACACCCATTAATATAAAAAAATAGAACCTTTTCAAGATTAACTTGCCAATTTTCACTCATGCCTGCGTGCACGCTGCTATATTGCAGTCAGCCTTCTTAAGCAGTGGAGTATTTTGGACAGTCTTTTTAGAGAAACTCCTTCAGCTAAAAGCAGTTTAATTTGTATGACTAGACAGACCCTGAGGAATAGCTGCTGTGATGCTGACCAATGCCTTTTCCCTATCTACAGCAAGGAGTCCTTGGGTTGCATTGCCTACAGTTGACTTAGAAAAGTTTAGCTCTTGTGTCTGTCCTTCAGCTTCTGTGATCTGATAATGAATTTATGAGCTTTGCAAAATGAATGCATGTCTCATATCTGTGTGACTGATTTTAAACAGTTATAAAAGGTTCACAAGATAGGGACCAAGCTCCTACATAAAAGCTAAAGATCCCCTTGTTTTTCTTTCTTTCTTGACATAGTAAATATCTTTCTGCTTCAAAACATACAGAACTTGGAAAGGACACACCTGAATCACAGCACCTCAGTTACTGTTTAAGCAGAACAGCCACAAAGATTTTTTCAGACAAGTTATTCATGTAGTCTGTACAGTGAGCCACTGAACTGTGTAACTCTGTACATAGGTATTAAGAACATAGAAGGAAACATGACGTGAATAAAATCTGTTTCTATAGGTTCAGTTTCTGAGGACTCTCTCCAAAAGGGTAACATCCAAATGACTTCACAGGGAAGAACTTTCCCAAGGGCTGTGCTGGGGTGTGTGAAGTGAATGAACACAAGGGAAGGCCCCACCTCGTTGGAGATGCGCCGCTGGTCGATGTAGGCCATGAACTGGGAGCTGAGGCTGTCTGTGTCCTGGCACCTGGGCTGCCTCACCTCCTCCTCCTCCTCCTCCGTGGCACAGCTGTCAATGTAGTCAATCTGATCCAGATCGTGTTCCACTTGACAAACACACACAGAGAGAACAGCCACTGTTAGATAACCCATGAGAGAGGACAAAACCCAGCAATGCAGCACGGTCAGGAGCTAAGGCCCTGCTCTTTCTGCCATCTGGGAAAGCTCAGCCTGAAAGCTCCTGGATTTTGTCAGGCCCACTAACATTAGATCAACAAATTTTGAAATAATTCTAAAATTTATGCCTTTTAAAAAGCAACAAGGAACATGTATCAAGGAGTTTTATACTGCTGGCTGCAAATACTTTTGCAGTGACTGAAAAAGTAAATAATGTGATTTCCCTTTCAAAACCAAAAACTATATATCAAAGTATGGCAGCTAATATCAAGACTGTACAATGACCTTTGTATATTTTGGAATAATTTCTCCTGGTTCTCCGTCAGAAAAATCAGAATGCATATGACAGATCCTTCCACTAGTGTTACTACTACAACAAAATAGAGAGCAGCATGTCTAAGTTATCTAGATGCAAATACAATAAATATAAGAAGTGTATGTGGAAATAATGAACAATACTACAGAAAACAACAAAATTCCTCTAAAACAGTATAAGGCATCTGCAATTTTATTTTAAAAGAAGAATGAAAAAGAAACTAGGAATCACTGAAATGGGAGCAAGAAACAGCACAGTTTGGCTGGTATTGATTTTTCTTTGTGTGGGAGATTCTATGTAGGGCAATTTTTTCACTTGTCACTGCTTTTCCACATTCTGCCCAGGGATTCTGAGAGTCATGACATTGAGCAAACGCCCCTGGTGAAAAATATTGCACTGGGGATGCAGGGGAAAGTATAAGTTCCCTTTCAGAGCACTAGAGATTTCTTTTTTCTTAAAACTCTCCCCAAACTTGCTCCAGACTCTTGCAGACATTCTTCTTTACTCCCCCGCCCCTTTCCTGCTTGTCTAAAACAGACTTCTCTTTGCCTCAGCACACAATCTAGCAACTGTTACTGCCAAAGCCACCCCCTCTGCTACTACAACCATCCAAAACTACATTCCTATATACTGTGGCTTCATTAAATTTCCATCTCAGTTTTAAATCTTAAAAAAAACCCAAAAAACCCAAACTTCCCTTCTTTCCAGGCTTGCTTATTAAATAATGATGATGATAAGAACAACAATAATATAGAAAAAGGTGAACGATACTAGTAGCTGTGTTAGGAACATAAAACTGCAAAGCATCTGGATCTCTGACAGCCACATGCTATGGTTTGTGCCCCTCCCAGGTACACCTACTCATGAACTGATCATGCTCCAGCTTAAAAGTCTGCAAGGCATTTTGAAATCCCTGGTGTGCAAAAGCCAAAGAACAAAATAAAGTTAGTCTTGGAGGCAGAGCTGGCAGCACTACCTCTTATTAAGGCTGCCCAACACTCCCTATGACACCATATCTTCAATTCTTCTAAGTGCCAGAATGTAACTGTTTGAAATTAATTTCTTCCCCATTAATGTGTGAAAGACCTTGAGTTAAATAAAAAGTTTCAGATATTTCTAGAAGGTGGCAAAGAAAACAAAAAAATTGTTTGCACAGAAGACTAAGACCAAGAAAAGAAGATGGCAAAAGATAAAGATGGGAAGAGGAGGGAAGAGAGAAGAAAAAGTGGGAGCTGGACACAGGACATTAGATGTAGCTGGGAAGAGCAACACTTAGAGAAAATGAACTGTAGCCATCAGGGAATATGAAAACCAGGGAGCAGGTGATAAAGAAGAAGAAGAAGATCAAAGTATATGCAGATGAGATCTAATAATAAGTACTGCAGAACAATGGAGAAGAAGAAATGATTGAAAAAACAAACCTGAAGCACTGTTAAAATTAAGGCATATAAACAAAAGGAGACACTGGGAGCAGAGATTGCTGGAAGTTAAAATGAAAGAGGACTGGAGATCAAGAAACATGGAAAGCAGGATCACCTCCTGAACAACTGTGAAGGTGATCCTGTGAGACTGAGAAAGCACAACAAAGCACTGCCACCCACAACCACCAGCCCCTCCTGGATGATATTAAAGTTTGGATTAAAACTCAAAACTGGAATGAGACACTAATACCAGTCAGAAATACGAAATTCCCTGACAAAATTGCTCATCCTGTTCTCACAGCAGTTGGCACAGAGCACTGACAATTTACTGCTGTAGTAAATTTTCCCCAGAAGCTCACACAGCAAAACTCCATGGACTGAAATTCAATATTCCAAAATACCATTTGAAGCAGTTGAGACTTCAACATAGGACACAGCCAAAAGCTGACAAAGTTTTCAAGAAAACACCAATTCTGCTGCTATTTGATTTTAACATCCTTAAAACAATAGTATTTTTACAGTTTTCACAACACTGTTTTTGTGTAATTCCACCTAGACCTTTCTGCTTTTTTTCCTCTTTAAACAAGCTACTATCTGTAGGAAACATGCTGGAACTTTAATAATGATAACAATAAATACTTTTAGCCAAAAGTCACTACTTACCTCCACCATTAATTACAACTGCATTCCCTCTGTTTTCTTGGTACTGACTTTCTCTTCTCAGTCTCTGCTCTTTGGTGAACTCTGCCACACGTAATGGGAGATCTGAGAACTCATCTGTTGGCTTTGGAAAACAAACAGTGAAGTCTGGAAATACTTCTCTTCAGAAACATAATTTTGTAATCTAGTACTTCTTTATTTGTCCTTGATTTGTATTTCAATTGCCCTGTTTTACAACCACAAAACACGGATTTAAAGCAAAGGACAGCCATAATGTATTCTTTTAAAAAAACATAGAGTGGAGTTTTCTTTAGAAACCAGCTACCTACAGTTTTGATTGCAGTACCTGCATGTGACTGAAAACATCTCCGGATGGAAAATCCTAGCACCTTCTCTAAAATCAAGTTAGGAGTGCAAGTATGGAATATAGCTCACTGTGGCACTTTAGGTCTTGGCTATTTTCTATATGTAACAAGAGGAAAAGGGAACTTCATCCTGGCAATAATAATTTACAGTCTTTTTGCTAAGAGATCCTATTTTCCTCCTTGTAAATAGCAAACATATTTTCATGTTTTAAACCAAGGAAGAAGACAAATTTCCAGTTGATTTCCAGAGCTGAATTTTCAGGTTCAGATTTATTTTATTGAAACATCTTTTCATGAAAAATTAGAGTTGACGGAGCATTGTAATTTGATACTGTTACAAAGTCTTTAAAATGAGGAACCCTATTTTTCTCACTTTTTATGTTCCAGTAAGTTAACCTCTCATGCACTGTTTTATACATTTCTGTTAATACTTCCAACTTGGGGTCTATCCCATATAAAATTAACCTTGCTTTTTCTCCAATAAAACAAGTAATATTGGCTCAAGGCAACCTGCACACTAGCACATGCATGTTACCCATGGAATGTGCTTCCAGATGCATACATTTATTTATCTTTACTGTACAATACTGCACTCAACAAAAATAAAGCTGCAACACTTACTTCATTCCCTGACCATCTTTTGTCTCCGCTGTCCACACTATTGAAGCCAGAATCGAGTGCTCCATATGGACGACTGGAATAGAGCTCCTCATGGCTGTCAAACACACAGTTTTAGTTACTGTGATGGAAACACCACCAAAAGCTTCTCAGCCATTACACAACAGCAGCAGAATAAGCCACCAAGCACACTTGCAGCGTGTTCACAAGCTCAGCATGTCTGAAAACCTCACGCTGCACTTGCTGCAATGGAGCAGGAGGCAGGTGCTGAGAGCTCACCATCCCTGTCAGTCAGCTGTCACCTGCCACTGCCTGGCCCTCTGAGCTGAGCTGATTCAAAGGACAGATCCACTCTTCTTTTTCCCAAAGAGAAACTGTGACAAAGCAAACTGCAAACTGGTCTCATATCTCTCTGTTTTGCAAGTCAAACTTTCATTTTCTACTACTCAGATGTTTTGGTGAAAACCACTGTCAAACAAACCTTTCCATAAATATGTACAAAAGTACAAAATCACTGAAATTACAGAATATACTACTTTTAGTCAAAACTATGCAGCATGTATTACATAAATGTCTTCTGACAAGTAATTACATAAGAAACTGCAGTAACAGTATTTCAGATGCATCAATGTAATAACTGTAGAGGTACAGTTCTCATTTACAGAGCTTTGTCAATGACATGTCTAGACAAAGGCATTAGACATGTGCCCAGTGTTACAATACATATAACCAAACAGGCATACAGTTCTTTAAATTTCTGGGCTTAGAAACTACGTAATTCAGCATATAGCCATCACAGATGTCAACTCTGGCAACTGCTGCAGATAGCTACAGTAAGAGAGACAATGGGACTTGTCTGATCCACTGCAGATGGCATTTCACAATGGCTCAACTGTCCTATTGGCACTCGATGCCCCAGGGAGAACTGCAGCAGTAATTACTACATAATGCACAAGGAAGAATGAATTTCAGGAAGCCAATTGCATCAGCCCATCCCAACTAAATTGCAGGTCATTTTCTCACTGGCATTGCTCTCAAGTTGCTGCTCCCTCTGAAATTCTAGTTTCAGGAAATACTTATTTTCAAATTATTATTATTATTATCTTAAAAGAAGACCAATAGACTACTCTCAAGGCCTATTTTAGTTTTCAGATAGACATGAAATAGCAAAGAAAGGATCCTTCCAGGAGAGATGCAGGCTACAGATGAGACACATTAAGCCATGCATCTGTTTCTATGCAGATGTAGACTAAAAGACAAGCTCTTGCATCTGCATGGAGTTTTGTTTAACTCAAATCCACTTTTAGGGCCCTGTATTTGAACAGAAAGATTATCTGCATAATAAACCATCAGAAAGGAAAAAAAGTCAAAGAAAAAACCAACTCCCTTTTTCTAGGTGGGAAGAAAAAAGAATGAAGTCACCCAATGCAGCTAAAGAGCTACTAATTTGAGTAACTGACAATACAACCATAATTATACTAACAGTTCATAGAACTTACATATATTTTAAAAACATGGGTCAAAGAAAAATCCATCTGCAGTAGGATTCTATTTTAAATGAATCAGTATTTTCAGCATCTCCTGAGTGCCTTGTTGTAAACTGAACAATTATTACAAATTAAGGAGCTCAAAAATGAGGAAGTTTTGATACAAACTTTCTTTTAGCCTCCCTTTTCAATTGGAGAATTTGTAAAGCTTTACATCAACCACTGAAGTTAGCTGGAAGCCCAAAAATACATGAACACTGTGCCCAGGACTTCTCCTTTTTAACAACAAAGCTCCTATCTGTCTTCCCAGCTCTCACAACTAAACCCACATATCCAATACCACACATGTTACACACTTATAATCATACAGCAGCCATCCTGAAATCAGCTGAGACTTGAGATCTTTATTCCTCCCTGACCAACAAGCCACAAAGGAACAATTAAGCCACATTAAGCATTTGGAGAGATCAGACCATTTTGGGGCAATTACACCTTACAGGAAGCTGTGTAAAGCTTGAAATCAAAGGATGAGAAGCCAAATAGCTGCTAAGACCAACAATGAAAGACAGTACTTGCTGCCATTTCCATGTCACACTGAAAGCTGTATCTTTACCTCCTGTAAGCAAGAACAGTTGCCCAGGTCCCAGAATATTCACTACAGTGGTTCACCCATGAGTACTTGGTGTTTTAAACCTTCTAGCTCCAGAGTGCGCCAGTCTGCCAACAAATGCCCCACAGCTTTGACAGTTCTGCCTCCTCTCAACCTCATTCCCTCCAGCACCAACCTGAGCTGCTCTGAGTTTCACTGCTGCAAATGAGACTGGCTTGCTGCAGCTGAACAAAACTTGCTACAAGACAAATTTCACATGGCTTATGTTTAGAAGACGACTGTCCTTTAGAAAAGGACCACTGTGAACACTCTGGTTAAACAGTCTGATATAATTTGACAAGGCTAAAACAATCAATTAGCTGTGCTAGAACCTCCAACCCACGTCCTGCTATGGTGTTTCAGAGCATCTTGTTTTATTAGCAGTATCAACAGCCTTGCTATTAAAAATGTTTGACAAATGTGAACTGACAGCACGACACAGACTTCCTTAAACTTAAGGAGTTTCTACCACTCAGACTCTCAACCTGCATGGTATTACACCAAGCTGATCAGATAAACCAGCAACAAAGTCTAGGTGGACTGACTGATAGCGTATTTCTATTGGTCACCTTTGAAGATAACAAACACAAAGCTCTTGTGCCTTGCCTGGAAATATTAACTGTATCACAGCTGAAGGATTTTATTTCTTTCACTTCAAGCTACATAAAAATATAATAACTGGGGACTTTCACAGGATCATTCCACAATTTTCTCCTAATGTGTGCTCTGGTCCACTGACAGTTCTTCCATAGCTACATGAAGATGGAAGGAATCACCTGCAACACTAAATGCCCTACACAGCACAGTACAATAAATAATTCTACCACCACCTCTTATCTCTTCTTGGGTACAGAAATACAGTTAAGGCAAAGCCAGTTGAAGCTCATTTCATACTGCTGAGTCTGGTAAAAATTCTAGAGAAAGCATCCTCAACTTGTTTTTACAAGTTGAGGATGTTCTGCCCTTGCTTTTACATTTACAATTTCAAGCTATGATTAAAATATATTAATTCTTCTCATTTCACAAAAGCAATTTATGAAACTTTCCAGAGCAATATACAGCTACAGACAACAACTAATCAGTAAGCCTACAGCCCATCCGATTTTGAATATCTCTTAAAAATTAACAAACTATGCTAGAGCTAAACAGATCATGACATTTTCTCATTTAGAGTCTTTTCCTTTCAGAGAAAGGACAGTATCCTCAGTATTATGCAGAAACCAGCTGCACCAGCTTGTATTGGAAATCGATTAACCCTTGACATGTTCATATGCTGACCTAATCTAGAACAGTAACTTATGACATTCAGTGCTGATGAGCAATCACTGTCAGTCCCTCATGCAAATTCTTCTTCATCAATCTGACTCATGATGATTTATTGTGAAGCCCCCTCATTTGTGTTTTATTGCTGCTAAGGCAGCAGTATATCCTTCAGCAACTTACTCCTCCACACGTTATTACTACCTCCAAAGATGACTGAAGTAATTTTTACATATATTCACTTTCATACTTCACTGACTGCCTTTCTTCTGGATCACATAACAGAAATAAATCTCAACTCCTGCTTTTTGCTAGACATCTTAATTTAGCAGCTGATATGGCTGACTGTTCCAATATTTGTGTTACAATGCCAAGCAGCAGTGCCAAGTGACAGCTTGCCAGAAATAACAGTTTACTAACGGGGTGGAGATCAGCATTTACACCTGCGGTTTGAGCACAGCCATTATAAAATTCTGTACAAAAGGTTAAAAATCACAGCTGGGATATCATTCAGTAAGTCTGTGGAAAATATTAAGATCTTGTAAACTGAACATAGATGTTAACAACACAGGAGCATACCCCCTGTATTGTTTATTATTATTCTCTTTTTACTGCATATCAGCTCTGACACTGCCTTCCCTATGACACTGCCCAGGTCATCTCCTGAACTACTACTCAGTTTTTACACCTTACTAGAATGCACCATGAAATACCATAAACAGTATTTTTCAAAACCTCCTCAATGCACTTACCACTTACCAAAGAACAATCCTTGATCTGTTTTTTTTTAATAAACTCAAGGTGGACTGACAGAATTTTCATGAATGCAATTAAAACTGGGAGCAAAACTTGGTTTGTGCAAAACTTACCATGATCCAAATCCCATGGGTCTTCTATCATAATCAGGCAAGTCTGGAGCTATCTTGCATGCTTCTATGTTCAGGTATTTAAATATATGAATTTTTCCTTTTATACATATCTTCAAAAAAATTAAAAAATCAAGTAAGTATAATTTGACAATATATTTTCAAAATACACTACAGACATTCAAGATGCAGTCGAGAATAATAATAAATGAGCACATTTACATCAATCAATGTATCTTTTATTCTAATATCACTGCATTTTAGAGGAACAGCTATAGTGGAGCATCATGGGATGCCTGTGGTAGACAAATGGAAGCTGTCCTCCAAGTACATCTGGTCTGCAGGCAATTCTGTCAGTTGGATGCTGAAATTTCATCATGCAAACAAGACATGAACATTCACAAGTACCAGAATTTATACCCTTGGCATCAGAACAGATGCATCCCACCCATGCCCATATTTGAATGGCAGTGGCAGACTGCCAAAGCCAGCTCAAATTTATAGTCAATGAAGGCAGTAACAGCTGTCTCTGCTTTCATAAGGAAATCAAAACCCTACTGAAACTACAAGTTTCAGCAAGTGCCCCTCTTGACTCTGATGCAGCAGCTCACAATAGAACCTGTAATACTCAGAGGCTCCTATACCCACACTGAAAATCATATTAGTCATTAACAATACTGCAGTTTCTAGCTCAAAGGCCAATTTGAGTACTCTGCTGCAAAGTGGATCAGCAAACTGCAGCACTGAGGCCTCAGTCAAAATTTTGACATTTGAGTGACAGAAAATGAGTCTTGCCTAACAGAGTTTCCTCTCTCCTCTGCTGAAAGCAGAAATATTCAAGCCAACATTAGTGAAATTTTTTGTAATATTCCACAGCAGAGACTATTAATACAGTAAAAAGAAGAAAAGGGATTTTTCAAGCTGTGCTACATATTTAATACTTGCAGACAACAGAATGTATTTAAAGTTCTCTTGTTCTTAAATAACAAATATGTAACATAATCCTTCAATTTATAACTTAGTTCTGCCCTCATTAGCTGAACTTGTCATCTGATTTTGTAGCTGCAGTTTACCTGTGCAGGGGGGGACTGGAGAGGGTTGTTTTCTAACATGATGGACTGAAGATGTCTGAGGTTCCTATAACAAACTGGTATTGTTGTTATTTTATTGCAGGAAAAATCTAATCGAATCAAAGGCAACTCAGCAAGCTCTGGAGATAGAAAACAAACATACAATTCAGAAGATTAAAAGAGGATAAGAAAAAAAACCAAGGGTATGAAAATCTGTGTTTCAGAAAACAATTAAGCTGCTTTTAGCTCTCAGGGGAAAAAAAAGGGACTGAAAACAGAGAAGTGTTTGAAATTTCTGCTGTTACAGTGGAGAACCATTTTCTCACCTTCAGGTAAACGCACCAAATTATTTCTTCTGACATTTAGGTCTCGCAAGGACTCCAAACTGCCAATCTGGGGAGGTATTGTCTGTATTTCATTACAGCTCACATCCTACAAGGAAGAGCAAAGAATGAGTTATCATTGTCTAAGTCTCTGTTGACCAAAATATGCAGGTGTATTTAGGGACTGAAAAAAAAAGACAGCTAATTATATAACACCTCAGATCTGTATATTCATTCAATCTCACTGCTGACATGGAGCATGTTCTCATTTTAAACACAGAGGGAAATAAAAGCTTTAAAAAACTGAACATTCAGATGTAGAAATTTATTTCAAGTTACTCCATACTATATCAGATAGCACAATTTGCTACATAAAAGCTTTCTGTCAGAAATAAACATAGCAAGAACTCTAATTCCACCAGGCCTTCCTTTCTAGAACAGGGAAGACATTTGAATTTACATGGATCAGTTGCTCTCCAGTGCATCTTCCACTCACATAAAATTCTTCTAAAATCTCAAAGTATTTAAAACTCTTTTCTAACACCTCTATTTAACACCAAACACAGAGACACTGTGGCAGACACAGATCATCCTTAGCCAAGAGCAGAATAGTAATAGCTGGAAATCAAGTGTATACTCACAAGCTCTGTCAGCTGTCTGAGCCGTCCAATTTCTTCAGGTATTGAAACCAGCTTATTATTACTTGCTATCAAAACTTTTAGTGGTAGACTACAGAGGTGTACAGGCAATGTTGAAAGCTGGTTTCGACTTTTGGACAGAAAGAAAACAAAATAATCATAAGTCTAATGAGAAACATTCATGCAATGAAAGACACATACAAAAAGCACACTCCACTTAGATGATCAAATCAGTTTTTATGTAATTACTACAAAAGTGGTTCCATGAGACTGTTCTTCATTACTTGCTTTATCTAGTTATGTGTGAACAAAATCTGAATATCAAGTATCAAGGCTGATCAGAGGCTTTTGAACTCAGTGAGAAGCACTGTGAGGTTTTTGTGCCCTTTCAGGTGCTCTGATAAGTGGCCATGCTCTGTCACAAAGGACTATGTTTGGGCTGAGTGCAAAAGCTTTCCCCATGCTAAAGCAAAATTGGTAAGACAACTGTTACCTGATATTTAGAAATGTTAGAGACTGTAAGTTCAGAACAGCCTCTGGGATATAGCGAATGCAGTTCTGGTACAGATTCAGAGTCTCCAGGGAGACAAAGTGGCAGGCCTCTGCTGGGAGCTCCGACAGCCTGTTCCGGGACAAGTCTGCAGGGAGGGAAACAACAAACATTCAGTAAAGCTGCCTTAGAACTTGACTAAGTTCCTTGCTTGGCAAGGTTGTTTTGGTTAAACTTCTCTAACCAAAACACCTACCAAATGTTTATACTTGAAGAATCTGTATGTTTCCTTGGACAGTTCCAATTTCCAGTCTATGGGCACAAAATATCCATGAGCATTATTTTCCTTCACAAGCTGCACTCTGATAAATAATGCAGTTGGCAAAGGATTCTTTTTTTCTTTAAAGGTCAAGGAAAGCTGCTGCTTATAAATTCCAAAGGGCAGTTCCCACAGACACACACCTACAGTCCCCACTTCCTGACACACCCAGCTCTGAGTTCTGATAGAAGCATTACCCAACCTCCAGGTATGCCAAAAGCTCACTACAGCAGGGGCTGGGATGGATATAAGATTCAGCAGGGTGCACACAGGTAAGAAAGCATGAAAGTCATGGAAACTTCTAATCCACCAGTACAAAAAGTTAATGGGGAACATCATGAAACCCCTTGTCCATTCACCAATAAAAATTTAAAAAAAGGAAATAAATTAAAAATCACTCCCCTGCCAATACACAAACACCAAGTGCTTCTTTCCAGCTGGTATCAGGCTCAAACATGACCTCAGCTTCAACTTGTCCAAACTTGATTTTGAAAAATCAACACTTTAAATGAATGTTTCCGACAGCTCTAATAGTGGGAGTTAAAACTACAAGATGATAGAAGGCAGCAATAAGTTTGCATTGCATATCTAGAATAGTTTTATTATTTTATGACAGAAAGCAGTTTGAGATCTTTGCCCTACTTTTCTACTTTTTGAGAAAAAGAAAAACATTTTTCCCTTTTATCCCTTTCTTCCAAGAGTGAAGAAAAACCTGCACTTACAGATTGCTAAAGGCAGGCTCCATAAACATCCTGATCTTACCATTTGCTAATCCAGATAAAACATCAGATAAATGCATCAATGCCAAGAAATATCATTCTGATGGATCCTGCTACTGCCAAAGCAGAATTTCCCTACCTCTACAGCTTGTCCCAGGTGCTTTGCATTGCCAGAGTGTGTGAGAGAAACTGATCAGAAATACAGTGGTTTTCTGATCACCTCTCCCAAAAACCCTATACCAGAACCAGGGAAAAATCTTGGTGCAAGCAGAAGAATCCCAACTTTGGTGGCAGAGACTATTCTTGGCATTTTAAAGCACTCACTGAACTCCAGCTTAAGTGGAAGCAGAAAATTAATTGGACTGATCACAATCTGCTCAAGAATCTGTAGGTAACAAAGGAGTCAATAAGTAATTGTATATATCCTGCAGAACAGAGCACACACTTTCAAGAATTTATGCAATGGATGCTGATTTTGCACCAGCCATCTCCCAGAGTGCTCCAGTATGTCCTAAAGTCCCTTCTGCTTTACTTCCATAGTTTAATTCTAATTAAGGATTTAGTGAAAATGACAGCACACTCCAGCCCTCCCCTCCAAGCTGCAGAGCTGCAGATTTAAAGGAGAGTTTAGTGCTGTGCTACAGTGTGGTGTCCAAAACTGTGACATTCCTAGTGGGATCTCTGTGTGCCAACACTGCTGTACAACATAACAGGAGAAGTTTCCAATCACACTGTTCCAACATAAGTCATGTATCCTGAGACATTTCTACCAAGTGCTGCTAACCACACTGGAATTACCTACCATCCACACAACTTGCTATGAGGTTTCACAATATAATTGTGTATTACCATGAAAGAAAGAGAGAAAAATGCAAATTATTTCAGAGAAGAGAAGAAACAAGCAAGAGTAATTTAGAAAAAATACTTATTTCCCACATTGACTGGATGTTTAACCATCTATTTGAAGAATTATTTCAACAGTGGTTTATGTATAAGGTGTAAAAGTTTCTGAATTCCACCACTTCTCTCACAACACAGGAGCATCCTTCAGCTCACAGCTTTATCCTTCCTTCCCACAGCTGTGCTGCCAAAGGCAGCTTGAATTCTATCCATTTCAACAGAGAAACAGGCATCCCAAGTAGGGAGCCCTATTTTCTGGCAGAAAAGCGACAAAAAGTTTCTTAGTACTCTGTTTTGGAAAGGGTTTAACCACAAATATGAGAATTCTTATTTGCTTTTTGTTTCACTTTACCTTACCAAAGAACATCTAAAAACTATTTTTTACACATTGTGCAGACCATAAGGCATGAATTAATCAAGAACTTCACATGCTGTGAACTATGATTTAGTATTGCTACAGAAATAACTCCCTGCAAAAATAACACTAGGCATGAAGAATTGAAAATACACTCTTTTAAGTAACAAGTGAGCTCAGAGTGGGATAGGAAAGAGACACCAAAGCTGGTTAGCACCAATGAATAGGTTTTCTAGACTTCTCTCAATCTACAGTGATTTTTAAAACTTGGCATTCCTATTTAGCAGTAGATATTCAGTGGGAAATGGATTAGATCAGCTGAACTTTGATGCTGCAGTATAGTCTCTTAAATCATTCAAAATGGGTCTATCCCTAACAAGTTTGGTTATAAGTTTAGAGCATTTTTATTCATTATGGCCATGAGAATGCTGTCTTATACACAGCATCTGTGATTTCATGTGCCCAAAGGGGGAGCCAAGAGGGAGGGTTGGCCACGACCATAAAAACAGACAAGCAGTAGGAAAACAACAACTAAGCTAAAAAGAGAGTTGAGAATTGAGTTGAGAATTAGACAGAAGCAATATATGACAAAATAGTGTGAATTCTGAATCTGCAAATTCAAGAACTGCTTTTGGTTATTTGCAATCCTTGCTTTGTCCCCCATACTTCAATAAGTATTTAAATTTCCTCAAGTTCAGAACACAGCATCCCTAAGATACAGTGACATTTTTTATTTTGTTCAGTTTCTCTGGAATCCTTTACCATGCCAGAAAAGACCCTAAATGTGACCAGAAATAGGGCAGAGTGCAGCAGTTACTGCATAAAACAATTCAGCAATTCCATCTTCTCCCCCATCACCTTCCTCAGAACACCTGAATGAGAGGCAGAGCTGTAACAAAACCAGAAGATAACAAAATCATCCCAGTGATTGGTTATGTATTCACATGTTTGCTGCCCAGCAGCACAGCACTAGCTGGTGTTTTTCTCAAAAGAGAAAGTATAAGTGAGGTAAAGGAAAAAACTAAGGTATTTTATTTAAAATATCAAATTAATACCCTGCCAATTAAGACGTGTTTTGGTCATATTCTTCTGCTACTGTATGCATGAAATAACTTCAACAACCAGAAGACAGAAAGGTATTACAGTTTACACAAATTATTGTGTAAACAAAAATTTCTGCAAAGATTTCTATTTCTCAGAGAAAATAACAGGTGTTGTAGTGAGGTATTATTTAAATTTTCATATTTTTTAACAAGCAAGAAGAAATCAGTGTGATGCAAGTTATTTTCTTTAACAAGAAGGTGCACACCCTTGCTGCTTCTCATACCTTCAACTGCAAAAAAACAAATTACTAATTCCCCCCTAAAAGCACAAATACTGAATATTCACTATGAATAATCATATGAATGAAATATAGCTGTTATAATTTGAACTCGGATTAACTCCTTTGTGTCCACATTTCACGGGTTAAAATCACTGCTACCAGAAATCTTCCTTAAGAAAAAAGGCTCTCCTAGTTTACTAAAAATGGATGTGTTTCCTTGAAGGCAAGATCATGTGGAATTTTGGCAAAGAGGAAGCATTCTTTGGAACTAAGCTCTTCGTGAAAGATAAAAAAGCCAACAGTACAGATACAAAATGAAATCTCAGAGCACAGTCAGAGCACTGACCTTTTCCATCTTAATTAGAATTCTGTGGAGACAGCCAGCAAATCCAATGTTAAATGTGACTAGAGATACACTGTGCTTCAAATTGCATCATTTGGCATTAAATGCAAACTCCTCCTGCTCAAAGAATGCTCCTCTAACATCAATTATTAGCAGGTCTGTGTTCACATATTTTTAGCTTCAGCTGTAACACAAATTTTGTCTCCAAAGGACAATGAGTGATGCACAAAGATGCACTGTTCAACACATGGGGTACCCACTACCTCCAGTACAAAGAGAGGGAGCTGCAGCTCAACTGTGGCTGGCACTCAGACCAGCTGGGTGGGGGTGAATTCCAGTTCATCACCAGATGCTGATGGGATCAGTCCATAATCCTGTTGTGATGGGAATATGGCTTCTGCTCTCATTCCAGTTAACTACCACAAAGGCAGACACTCTAGACCTGGGCTTTGCTACAAAATTTTGTTAATAAAAATCTGCCTTTTGTCATCAGAGACCTGCATGTGTTCCCCACACACTTTAAATTTTTATGTTTTAAAATTTCAACTAGGCTGTCTATTCAAACCCAAATGTCTGCAACCACCACAACACCTGCTGGCAACACTGATGTAAGAGAGGCTGTGTCACTGCCAGCTGTGGGCTCCCCCCCATGATGTAACAGCCAGAACAGCCCCTCTGCAGCTGTGGGATGGCAGCCATGACCTTGCTGCAGTGATGCAACAACCCTGGCACCTGTGAATTCACCTGAATCCCAATGCTGACACTGGTGGCTACAGACTGCCCTCAGCTAGAACGACTCCATTTCTATGGCAAGCAAATGTTCTTTTTTCCCAAAGACTATGAGACATGTGCTGTAGCTTGAAATCACATTCATGGTTTCCTTTAATAACAGACAAATCTAAGACATATGAGCTTGCAGCTGACAGAGGAAAATATGTTTTCTTATGAATAATTAAAGAAGCCAATCAATGACAAGAAGACTGACAGCCAATATAGTGACAGAAGGCAAAAGGCAGCACTAACTGCTTTAGAAGGAGAAGGTGCAGCTGTTTAAGAAGAAATACCAAAATCTGGAATTGTGTAAACAGCCCTTTTTTTTTCTTTTTCCCACATACACAACTTAAAGACCAGAAGCAAACTCCACATTTTCACACTGATAACACCAAAACCACCATGGCACTGGAGAAT